GCAGTCTACCTGTGCTAGTGCAATTTGTCTGTGCAAAGCTAATGGCTAAAAAACACCTAAAATCAGAAAAATTAAAAACAAAACCTTTTACTCTTGTGGTAACATGATGTAAATGACTGTGATGCGTGTGAAATGAGTTTGTGCTCAAAGAAAATCATCAAAATCACCCCCACTAGTGTTGAATTGCATAGTTCTTCACAATGAACTTGATGTTTTGACTGACTTGACGTGGTTTGAATGAGCAAACTCTTTTAGCAACATTCTCTTTTGGGAGGATAGTGTAATGACTTTTGGTGAAGTAGTTAGGTGGAGAACATTGACCATTCGACATGTTTGGATACCTTGCTTACTTGCATCTGTTGTGAGCTTTTGACTTTGCATTGAGTCTCTCTGTTTTAAAAGGTTTTATGATGGGGTGAACTGTATCTTTATAAAAGGAAAAGTCCTACCTGACAAGTAAAATATAAGAAAGTTGCCATAACAATTAAAGTGTGGGTAAAATGCCAAAATCGTGTGAGGCAATCACTCATTGCACAAGGGGATTAGGAAAGGTTCAACTGAGCATCGGTTCACGTCCGTACGATGTTGCTTATCAAGTACGAACCCCCGTTGAGTGAAGTTCCGTTTGACAATGTGCAATGACCCTCCACGCGGACTGAGGAAAAGGAGTTGAAAGAAGCCCTTATGCGAGTGCTAAGAAGCATAAATTGCTCTTGCTCGGTCACCGGTAGTAAGAAACAAATCCCACTTGTACTAAATACGACCACTCGGCAAGCAAAATCAGAAAGAGAGAAAGCCTCTCCTTGTCATAAAAGGTAGTGATGTGCTTAAAGTTAAAATCATGTTTGCGAAAGGTTTCCCCCATTAGTTTTTGAGACTCTTGTGCTTAGTTGGTTGCTTATGATTTATGTGAGTAAGCCAGATTGTCCTCACGAGATATGCACCTCACTGATGTGGTTAGATTCTCCTAATAACTGCTACACCATAAGTTGTTAACCACCCACTACCGACGACCTAAATTGAGTGATTGCTAATTGAGTTTTGGTGAATTTGAGTCAGTCAATGGTAAAGGGTTGCAAGACCTTGAGTGTGGGGTGAAAGGTATAATCATTAAAGCACAACACATCAATTGAGAAAGAAACTACTGATTATCACAAGAGTACAAGGGTAAATTTCTTGTGTTGATGTTGTGTTTTGTGTGTCATGGGTTTTTGTGTTTTGAGTAAGGTTGTGTCTCTGTGGTATGTGTTGTGTTTCTCCAATCATCGTTCTCTTATTTGAGTTGTTGTTTAGGGACAAGCAAGTATTGAGTGTGGGGTTGTGATAATTGTCGAAAACATATTGATATTATGGGTTTAATGTGATTACTTAATGATAGGTTTGAGACGTATAATGCTTGTTTCAGAGCCGACTGACCCTGGAATGGCTATAAGACCATTACCACCATGTGTTAGAATTTTGATACGTTATAGGTGGAAAGCAAGGAAAAATGAATGCAAATGCTTAATGATAGAAAAGCACTCCAGGGCCCGACCCAAAACCAAACCAGTTTGGTTTATTCTTCAAATGATTTGGACCGGCTAGGGGATTAATTTGGACCGGGGAGAATTATTGAGTGGGCATGAGGGAATTATTGGAGGGATTTTTTAGGCCCATTTTTTTTTTGGTCTTCTGCGGAGGAGATTGGTTTTTTGGGGGTGGAATAATTGGACACGGAAATGGCTAGGGGGAATGGAAATTGAAGTTGGGCCAGGAGGATTTGGACACAAACAGGAGAGAGGAGAGATAATTATTTAGCGGGGAGAGGCAATTTTGGGAACGAAATCTTCTGGGGAGGTTTTAATATATTGGAGCTGGCGGCGGAAAGAAAGAAGAAAGAGGAGAGGGAATTCTTGGGAAAAAGAGAGCAGTGGGACTAGCGAGAAGCGCAAGCAGCAGGGCGCAGCAAGGCTTGGGGACGCGAGGAAGAGGGCAATTGACGATTCGAGTTTTTCCAGGCAGTTTGCGCTGATTTCAACGAGAGCGATTACTTTGGTTGGATTTTCTGAACCAAATTAGTTGTTTATTGTTGATTTAGAATATGATGATCAAAAATATCGATTTATCTCAGTTTCATCATGAACCAAACCCCGATTTCTGAGGGAAACACCATAGGATGTAGCTATTTCTATACTTGATGGATTGATTCATAATTCTTTTCTTCCAATCTCTATTGCATGAAATTACTTAATGCTTTGTGTTGACTGGCCACCAATACATTGATTTGTAGTTAATTAGGTTATTAGCGACAGCGAAACCCTAATAACTGAACCTATTTCATGTGACATAGTAACTTATCGAAGCGACAGTGGATTAAATAAGGTACTATGCGGTCTTGATTGGGATATCGTTCTTCAGGCTAAATAATTAACTCATTGAGCTACGACAGTAGGATTTGATTTAATTGTTTAGTACGTAGTAATTCCCGACAGGGATAGCTAGCACAATATTGATATCCTGGCTGTAGAGATATGGATTAAATTGATTGGGATATGTGAATTAATTTGGATATGATAGGTAGTGAATTCCGGTGTTTCTCCCAGAGCTTTCTCCCATTGAATTTCCCTCGACAAGTTTACTTTGCTTAATTAGTTTATTTTGCTTTTAGATAATTAGTCTCGTTAAACCATTTTCACCTATAGTTTGCTCCACATAAATTGATAAAACTTAAGGTTGTACCAGTCCTTAAGAGACGATACCCGAACTTTCCGGTTTACTACGAGATAGGAATTGAAGCTCTACGCTTTTGCCCTATCAACGCTCCACCGACGAAAAGGACTGCGGAAACCGGTTGGGTTTCTACACTCCGACGGAGGGGAGAGAAGAAAAAAAAAACTTACCCAACTTACTAATATGCCCCTCATAATAAAACAGTATTGAATTGGTCAAAATTAAAATGAAGGCGGTTAGGCGAGTTAGGAAGATGCTACACGAGTAAATGGTTAGCAATCCATCCGATCCCACTATTGACTACACATTTCATGAAGGCCAAATACACTTGTGTAGCCAAAACTTTGACGGTTTTGCCAAATATAGCCACTTTTGGCGAAATACCAAAAATAGCCACTTCCGTCCAATTCTTTGACGGTGTCAAGTAACGGGCTGACTGGACTGACGACATTGCTGAGTTGGCGGCCGTTAGTCAATTAAAAATGTGAGGTGGAAACTAAAAATAAATAAAAATAAATTTTTTTTTATTTTCTCTCTCCATCTCTCTTCTTCCCCATCCCTCCCCCAGTCGAAACTCACGTTTAATTAAAATCTGATTGGGATTTTTCTGATGTTGAACCCTCCTAATTCTTTATTCTTCCCCATCTATCGATCTTCCACCTCTCTTCTTCCCCATCGCTCGATTCTTCCATCATCGCTGGAGAATCGCCATTTACAGAATCTCCGAACTCGCCATTAAGATCGAGGATAATACTCGAGCCGAGGGAGAAGGAAAGGATTCTGCTTCTGTCTTACACCGCTAGTGCTCCCTCGGGCCAATCAATCGAAGGGCATCAACTTCCTCCCGTCGCTGCAAATCTGGGTTTCGGAAGATAGATCTGGAATCTGGGTTTCAATTGAGAAGATGAAGTCAGGGGAAAGAAGATGAAATCTGGGTTTCAGTTGGAGAAAATGAAGTTAAATCTGGGTTTCAATCTCTCTCTGTCCTCCGATCTTCCCCTTTCTTTCCCTCCGATCTTCCCCTCACACCCACCATTGTCACGCAGATATTTTTTTCTATCTCCCATCTCTCTTCCTTCCCCTTCCCCAGCGCAATCTCTCTCCCATCTCTTGTTCATCTCCTTCCCATCTTCCGCCTCAATCCATCATTCCTTTCCAAATGAAAAATCCAGAACAAGCTAAAACAACTCAGAACCGCAGCTCCACTATCGATCGATGTTGACGGTGGCGATGTTGACGGTGGCGATGATTTGGGGGATTAGGGATTTGGTGGCTCCATGCGCTGAGGTTAAATCCTTAATTCCAGTCGACTACTCCTTCCTCCCCACGAATCGACTGCTCCTTCCTCCATTTCCATTGCTCCATGCACTGAGATTAAATCCTTCTAAATTCTAATCGACTGTTTCCCTCTCCCAAGATCGCTGTTGTTTCTCCTCCAGCGTTGTTATCTTCTTTCCATACCTCCTTTGCCAACCGATATGGAATCAACAGTCTCCGTCGGAGATAGTTGGGGAAATATATATCAATTAGGTATTTGATTTGGATTAGGGATTGGGGGGAGCAGATTTGGGGAGAAAGTGAAAGAAAGAATTGAGAATACAGGGGTGCTCGGTGGGCGGCTGCAGAGAAGAGAGGGACGTAAAATAAAAAAAAGATTATTTTAATTATTTATATTTTTTTATATATTCATTTGGAAATTTTTTACTTTTATATGATTTTTTATGTAACTTAATTAATAAAAAATAAATCAAAATGACATGGCAATGATATTGATGACTTATGGCTGACGTGTGTGATGATTTGGCATCCTAGTCAGCATAACGTTAAGTTAACTGACAGAATTTCTAACACCGTTAAAGTTTGTAACGGAAATGGCTATATTTGTCATTAAACTTTCAAAATGCTGGCTATTTTTGGTATTTCGCCAAAAGTGGCTATATTTGGCAAAATCGTCAAAGTTTTGGCTATACAAGTGTATTTGGCCTTTCATGAAAGGATTAGAAAGCTCAAACCTTTCATAATGATTAAAACAACTGAATCATCTCATCTCTTCGTCTTCTTCCTTCCTTCTTCCCTAACTTTTTTCCCCAAACAGAATATGAAATTCGCACCCGCCACGTGCTCACAAGTGACGACCAAAACAACCTGAATTCCTGTCCTTGTCGTTACATCTTTTGTTTTCATTTTCAATTAAATTCCTCTAACCAACCTTGCTTGGGATATATTACATAAATGATTCCCCACTTTACCAAATCCCAACACTCTCTAGTCATTCGATTCAATAGACCCATATGCCGCCGGCGACCCAAAATGGCTCCTCCGCCTCCTCCTCCGGCCGACTCCAGCTCTCCAACAAGTTCCCCTCGACCAGATCCTTCGCCGACTCGCCCGAGCTTGCCGCCGTCCGGGTCAGCCTCGACCTCGTTTCCGCCGCCCGGCGGAACATTGGGTTCCTGAGGAATGTCAGTGAGTCGCTCTGGCTTCACGAGCCCGGTTGTCTCGCTGAAGCCGTAAGAAGGTGGGTTTCATAGACGAAAAGAAACGATAAAGATCGAAGCTTAACTCTTTCTGACCCTGTTCTTTTGGGTGAAGGTACGATGAGCTATGGATGCCGTTGGTTTCTGATTTGATGATCAACAATGTGGGGTCAACGGTTCCGATGATTCTTCCTCCTTTTGATGTCGAGTGGGTCTGGTTCTGCCACTGTTTGAATCCAGTACGTTGGAAAAAAATATCGATCTCTAACTTATTTTTTACTGTCTGGAAATCGCCATTTGCTGTGTTTTCTGGTAGATGAATTTGTTGTTTGCTGCCTGGGCAAGTTCTACAACTTGTTTGGCGATGGATGCCCCTGGGAAGATGAAGAAAGATGTTAGCTTTCTGCAGTTTTGATCAGTCAAAGTTTCTTGTTTGGTTCCTAGGAAAGGTTTTTAGCCCGGATTTTCGTTTCCTTGGTTGGAGCTGGGGAATTTGGGTAAATTGGAAGATATTGTGTCCTTTCTAAACTTCTAATCAGCCAATCTTTACTTGTTTGGTTCTTGGGAAAGTTTAGCCAGCTGAAAACTGTTTCTTTTCATCGTTTGGTGATGAAAAAGCGAATTTCTGCACTTCTAATCAGTAAAGTTCCCCTGTTTGGTTCCCGGGAAAGTTGTAATTTCCCTTCTTCACCCCAATCCCTAAAATTTTCCTCTCCTTTTCCTTCCCCAGGAAAACTACCGGCAATACTGCGAGCAACGATTCTCCAAGCTAATCGGGAAGCCAACGATCCTCAACTCAGAAAACGAAGAGTACGCCGTAACGAGATGCAAGAAGCTCTGGCTTCAAAAATACCCAAACGAGCCATTCGAGAACGAGTCAACCACCGAGTCACAAGACTCGGCTGTGGTTACAAATCATCAAGATCTGTTGATGAAGGAGGTAGAGAAGAACAGGGAAATCTACACGAAGTTCTCGTGGCCGTACATGTCGGAAATCGTCTACTTGATTGCGGCCAAACAGAGGTACAAAGGATTCCTGTTCCTGTTGCAGAGCGGTTTCATGGACGGCTGTCGTTCCAAGTTTGTTCCTTGCTTGGATATCTTGCTTATGTGGATCACACACCAGGTAATAATTTGTTCTTTTGGTTTTTTTTTTAATGATTTGTTTGTTGCTTTGCGTGCTTGATTGGTGTTAGCTGTTATTGTTCTTTTGGGGAAAACTTTCCAACTCCACCATGCTTGCTTTTCTCTCACATTTCAGTTCCTTTGAATCAATCATTCTCCCACTATCGTTAGTGGTCATCTTACTCCTATCAGAAAAGCATATATGGAATGTGTGTATATTAGTTAGGGGTGGTTTGCATCGTGTATTTTGCAAAATAAAGGTTTTGGTATAACTTTGGTTTTGAAAAACCATGGATATATGAGAGTTTTGAGTTTATTATGGATTTGATAAACATCATTGTTTGTTTGATGGATTTTATGAAGGATTTTGTTAATTAAATTTGTATGTATAAAGTGTAATTTACCATATAATCAATTTTGGCCCGTGGTTTCAGAAATTAAAAAATTCAAAGGGGTTAGTCAACACGCCATGCCATTGTCTCGTCAGCCTAAAAATTATTAAAAAATTCTAATTCTAATTATTTTTCAAAAAATAAAATATATATTTTATTTTATAAAGTTTATTTTTTGATTAATTTGAAAATGATAAATGATAGAAATTAGGAAAATAATTTGAATTTGAATTTTTTTAATAATTTTTAGACTAACAAGACAATGACATGGCGTGTTGACTAACGGTCAAACCATGTGTTGGGCCAATTGAGTCTAAATGCTACAAACTTGAGGCCAGGATGTTAATTTCTGAAACCACGTGCCAAAGTTGATTATATGGTCATAGTTCGGACCAAAATAAGGTGTTAACCCAATTTCAAAGTCCACGATCAATTCCCATATAAAAGGTGGGATTTTCAAGTCTGTGGGGCCCACGGATTTGGATCCTCAAAGTCCATGGGTCCCATAGATTTGTTACCTATAAATACTTACATCAAAATGGATTTTGGACAAAGTCCATCATGGGTCCAAATTCATCACCAAATCCATCAAGCAAACAAGTAATTAATTTTAAAATGGCTAGTGTTGGATGATGAGATTTGTAACTTATTAGTTTGATCGAGTCAACATGTCAACTCCCGACTTTGCCATATCATCAAAATCGGTAAATTAGTTTCACCCTATTCTCTACAACTCAACCTCCTAACCTATCACCTATGAACCCGAGACTCCAAACTTGCGAGGGAACTCGTAAAAGTCCAAGATCTGATCCATCATATGAGTTGGACCAGGGGCGGACCAAGGGTGTTTGGGGTGTCCCGGGACGTTCCTAAATTTTGGGAAAACGATTTTCTAACTTCCCGTGGTAATTTACGTATGGACAAAAAAGTATAATTAATAGTGAGAGACACCCCTGAAATTTGAAAAATGATTATCCTACTATTATTTTTTAGTTTGCGTATGTGAATATAAGTGGTAATTTTGTGTAATTCAAATCTAGAACACTATTATTAATAATAATAATAATAAAATTAATTTCTGTTAGGAAACAACTCATTTGTTGTTCAATTTTAAACACTGTGTAATAGTAAAATGTCATTTTCTATTTCTAATTATTTTTAAAATTTAATAATTAAACTAATTTCAAACTAACCTTAATTTGTATTGATTTTATGGTTGTAGGACAAGTGCTGAAAGAGTATTTTGTTACATCAAGAACAAGTTTAGAAATCGAATATGTGATTATTTCGTGAATGATTGTCTAGTAGAACATAGATAGACAATCTTTTTGAGCAGTATAAACACCAAGTGTATTCTACAATTATTTCGAAATATGAAAACACATTGTGAACTTTTAGGTATTTTCTTATTTAATAATTAGTTTTATATTATTTATTTTTATTAAATTAATTTTTTAAAAGAGGATACCCATATATAAAATTTCTGGGTTCACCACTGAACACGACTTTGGTGAGTTGGGTGAGAGTGGATTCTTAATTGGACAAACGACTTGTCGCGACCTCATTTGAATTGCTAACTCGTAGGTGAAATAACAACATATCGAGTGGAATGACTCGACATGACTCTTTTTATTAGAAACCATTCATTTGGTTGATTTTTTATATGAGGATGTCAGTTTAGCAAGGTTGTCAACCCGCGGGTTGACTAGGACCCGGTCGAGCTAGTGGGTCAAGGGTTAACGGGTCACCCATTTTAGCCAGGTTTAGCCCAGAAATATGGAAAGAGTCATTATATTGTCCTTATCCTGATAAATTATATCAAATTTTATGTAACATATGAGTAATAACATATAACATTACACCAAAGTAACATATCGTACTTAGATCCAACATATAGTGAAAATTCATACACACTTACATAACATCAATATTCAAATGTTCAACTAAGGATTCCAAAGATTGAGTTGGGCAAAAAGAAAAATCGAAAAATAGGCGCATTTCGCAAACCAATAAAAAAATGACACAATTTGACCTCCAACACGATACCTATACAGGTCAATCCGGCGGGTGTGTGCGGCCCGCTTTTCTCACCGGGTCAGGGTTAAAGTGGCTCGACCCGGGGTTGACAACCTTGTAGTTTAGTGACCATAGTATCACAACCTACATGCTTTAGTGACCATATATCCAAAAGCAGAGAACGATTGGCACAATCGCCCTTTAGCTTGTCTTATTGGGAGGAATTGGGCACCCATCACACTAATTCTCATTCCTTTGGATTGTTCCTATTGGAAGTTTTTCAGTGTTTCTTATACCAAATGCAAAGAATGATAAGATTGTATAATATCCTGGCAGAGTTACCCAACAGTATATGCAGAAGACTTGAAAGAGATGGAAAGAACTCATAGTATGGTCAAAGTAGCTGGATTGTGGGACAAAGTGGAAGACAAAGATGTGGAAGAGACCAAAAACCTGTGGGACAAGGTTTTTGACCAACCTTATGAGAAGGCTGGTGGAGCCATAAATGGGTTAGTGAAGCAGCCACCAGTTTATTGGGAAGTCTCAGATTTTGATGTCAACACCAAGTACAAGTCCCTCATGCCAAGGTTCCTCCTTGAGGTAAATTAAACTTAATTTTTTTTTTCCTGAATGTCCTAATTAATCTCTATAATCTCATGTGTGGTAGTTGTTATGATCTCGTTAACACCACCATAATGGTTATCTTCTTCGAATTCTCTACATGGAGAACGCCATGGAAAGATACACAAGGTAGTCAAAATTGCAAGATTTTATGTGATTTTTTATGATCTATATGAGAATTCCAATTACACCAGATGCCAGATGTGAGAGTTTAAAGGTCTTAGGAGTTGGATCAAAATCCTGTCATAAAAATGATAGTATTGAATCTTGATGTTCTTGATATGGTATAGGGTAAAGGTGATCAAAATCGTAAAATTTTACGTGCACGATTCAATAAATTTTATGCCTTTAGAAATGTAAAATAATAAGATTTGATTATCTTAATTGTGAAATAACCATGCTAAGTTGCTATCAAAGCGAGCTTGAGATCTTAAATTTCTTCCTTCCTGTTTCCTAGATCAGTATATGAACATTATGAATCTTCTCTTCATAATTTTTTTCTTTGAAGAAAACATATCTACGTTGTTGCATCACTCTGTGTTGTTCTTTTCTTCCACCCCAAATAACAGGCCTGTGTTTTTGTGAGGCTCAGCTCCAGCTCATCTCACCTTAACAAAACAAAAGACGCCACGACAAGCCACAACTTCCTACGCATGATGATGATGAGGTGCCACAAGGAGCTGAAAATAGATGCTTCACGATCCAGTTTCCCCCACGATTCGTGGAGGCAATTGGGGCCCTCATTGTACTGCGAGTTTGCCACTAAAGGTCTCGTCCTCGAGCTCCGTAGAAGAGGAGGAATGTATTTCAAGACGAGTAAAGCTGTCGATACAGTCACATTTCCATGGAACGATATGCTAAGGGCTCCATCACTTACTTTGGAGAGGTATATGGGCAATGAACTCAGGGTTGTGGCCTCAATGACGCCACCAGTCCAAGCTCCATACCTCTTAAAATGTGTTCCCGATCGAGTTACCGATGACTCCGGAGCAATGATCTCGGATGTGATCCTCAGGATGAACAATTACAAGCCTCAAGAAGGCAGGTGGCTCTCCAGGACCGTTCTTGATCATGCCGGGAGGGAATGCTTCGTTGTGAGAATGAGGTAAGTCGTAAAATCGTACCATACACAGCTAATGGTTCAAACGTCTATTACTCGAGTGTGATTGAAAAAAATAATGATTCAACATTTATTTCTTTTTTTTCTGTAGAGTGGGAGGAGGGTTTTGGAGGCGAGGAGGGGAGACACCTTCCAACGTGAAATGGGAAGACAGGATCATTGAAGTACGTGAAGGCCCTTGGTCTTATGTTGCTGGTTCCATCGGTAGAGCACCTGGTATGTGATTCGTGAATGTATATAACCAAATTCACTATATGGAATTTGGTAGAGACAAGTTTGTGGATAAGAAAAAGAAGCTGTTTGATCCAGGAACATTAATTGTGCAGTTGTGTGTTTTGTTTATGATCTAGTACAGAGAAATTAGTTGCAACAGCGACACCCAAGGAACCTCCAGAGGGTTGGGAATCCGGTTGGCATTTCTCAACGGGGGATGAGCTTCTCATCGCCTCCGGGTTGTCATCTTCATCGTCATCAATCGGTGGCATTCGGTTTCGCTTCTCGAATCAATCATCTCCTGGCTCATCGCCATCATCATCATCATCATCGGTACGTTAATTCCTTTCCTTCATTCTTTAACTTCTTCCACCAACTCGAATTTTTCGGACCAAGTGGCCTCTTCAAAATGGTTCTTGACACTAGACCTTCCTACAAACTCTGTTCAGGTGAGACTGCTGATAGGCAGGCAAATGCAATACCGGGCGAGCACCAGCCAAGACGAAGAAGAAGCCCTCGAATCGGGTTTCCTCACATTGGTTCGGTACTCGGAGGACGACCCAACGGGGAGAGCTACGGCTCTACTCAACTGGAAGCTCATGATCGTGGAGTCGTTGCCCGAAGAAGATGCAGTTTTGGTCCTCTTGCTCTGCATATCCATCTTGAGGAGTGTGTCTGAGATCAGGAAGGAAGACGTTGGGAAGTTGTTGATCAGAAGGAGAGTGAAAGAAGCCAAAGTGGGTACTCGAGACTGGGGTTCGGTCATGGTTGATGGTCGTGATGGTTCGGTCGGTTCGGTTCACCTCCAGCCGTGGTATTGGAGTGACAATGCCAAAGCTGTTGTTGAAGGTGGTGAGGAGAGTAGTAGTAGCAGTGTTGGAAGGCAGCCGGTTCTGAGTTACTCGCTGGAGGAAGGTGGGGATAAGTTGTATAAGAGAGGGATCATAAGCTAATAGAGATTATACTAGGAAAGGTGATTGAGATGAGTCATTGAGTTGGTTGGTTGGTTTACCGAGATTTCTGAGGTGATTCGAACACAAGACACGAGATTTCTGACTTGCATTTTACGTTCAGTTTACGGTTCGGGTGTTACATCATTAGTCCGCATGGTGAAAGGATTGGAAGTTCTTAGGCCGGTAAGCCCTTTTGGTTTATTTGGATGTTGGTCTGTAGCACACGTGGTCGGGCCCAAATTTGGCTTAAAAACTTACATCTATTCAACGAAAAAAAACTTACATCTGGAAAAAATTGAATAAAAAGTAGTGTGTTGAACACCGAATGTCCGATCAGAAAAATTATCTATAGAAAATTTTAGATCGGTAGAAAATTATACCGATATAAGACGATTAAACCATGATTTAACTAAAAAAACATTATATCCTATATGTACGATGTCAGCGTTTTACCATCTTTGATAAAAGATGAGAATATTAGGTGTGTTTGGTACCGTACGACCACCAGTCCCACCACAAAGGACAACATCGCCATTGGAAAGTAATAACGAAAGAGGGGCCTTTGATCGAATATGTTCATATCTTTTGGTGCAATTTTAATTATCGGGTCAAGATTGTGAATAACTTTCACAATCAAGCAAGCCTTTGATCGAATATGTTCATATCTTTTGGTGCAATTTTAATTATCGGGTCAAGATTGTGAATAACTTTCACAATCAAGCAAGGAGAAGGGCTTGCTATAGCTCGAACACCAAGCAAGCAACAACATACAAACGCTACTGATCCGTTTTCATTTAATTTTCCTGTGAAATTGTGTCAATGACATGTCACATGAACATTGACCTAGTTCCATTACTTTTGACTTATTGTTTATCTTAAAAATATAAACATTGCCACTTCAAACATCTAGGACAATCAAGAATCAATATCAACAATATATGTTGTCGTGTTGGCCCCTAATGTTAATATAAACAAGTTAACAATCACTACTATAGGAGCTTTTGATGAAAGATAACACTACATCAATAAGAAAACAACATCTTCTATGAATATTGTAGTATAGACAAAGAAGGATATCCTAATCTCATATGTATAAGTGTGTCTCTTCACTCTTGATGGTTTTTTCTGAAATTGTGGAAAGAACTTTGGTAACAGTTGACCAACTGCTGGAATCTCCAAGAAGCCAAGATCTCTTATCTACTTGGATTGAACCAATCCTTTGTCGGAAGCGAAGTCCTGGATAAAACAAAATGAGACTAGTGAATTCTCGGCCAAGTAGCTTATTGAAAAATAAGGTTGTCAGAGGCTTTGTTTGGAGGTCTAGTGAAGGGAAGAGGAAGACTCACTTGGTTTCTTGGGAGAGCATCTTCAAACCCAAGAAACTAGGTGGTCTAGGCTTAAAATCAGCTAGACAAATGAATATGGCTTCTATGATCAAGCTAGGGTGGAACATGCTTAACAAAGAATCTGATCTTTGGGTTCAAGTTTTACAGGGAAAATACTTCAGCAACACAGTTGGGACATCCTCTCCATGAAAAGAGCAACCAATCCAACTTATGTAAGGCAATTGTGAAAGGAATGAACATTATGAAACATGCCACTTGCTAGAGCATCAGAAATGGCCAAGCAACCAAGTTCTAACTCAACCATGGATTGATAGTGATATCATCCTGGAGGATCATGCCCTTACTGACATTCATGAGGAGGACAAGGAATCAGTGGTTGCTTAATGGACTACAAAAAAGTTGAGTGAGACTGGGAAATATTAAGACTGGTCATTCCTGATGAAATTCTATCGGTTATTGTAGGTATGGGGGCTCTCGACCTTGAGCTAGGCGAGGACAACACCATTTGGGGACTAGAGAAAGACGACATGTTCAGTATGAGATCAGCTTACAAGCTGCAGCAAAGGAGGATGATAAGGAAGCTGACAAATGCTGGAAATGGAAGGGGCCAAGTAGAATCAAACACTTTTTGTGGCTTGTTGCACGTCAGAATGTTAACCAACAAGGAGAGGACCATAAGAAAGATAGCAACAAACAACTACTGCAACTTCTGCAAAAATAAAGAAGTGACTATTGAGCACATTGTTAGAAGTTCTATCAAATCCAGAAGCGTTTGGGAGAAGCTTCATTGCAAAGTTGATGCCAATCACATGAGACTCCCACTAAATGAATGGCATAACTCCAACCTCGGACAGGATGAAACTGCTGTCGATTTTGGCATTATCGTTTGGCACCTCTGGAAACAGAGAAATGAAGAGGTCATGGAGGGATGAGCATTCTCAAAGAATGGTTTGATTGCAAGGATCCAAGCTTGGTTTAACATTGTTGGGTAGGCACACCAGAATGTCCAGAAAACTACCAATGCGAAGACATCTACAGGCCACAACAGGTTGATTGGATGGGAACCACCTAGAGAAGGATGGATCCAATTACAATATGATGGATTCGTTCTCATCCAGATAGGAGCATTCATCTGCAACTTCGGCTCCTGCTCCATCACTGCTGTTGAATTTAAAGGCGCGATGGAAGGCTTGAAAGATTGTTTGGAAAGAAGCTTACTGCAACATACAACTGAACCTTGACTCTGTCACGACTATCGAAATTATCAAGCAACGCCACATGGATGATCACCATCATGGAAGCTTAGCGAAACAGTTTAACTACATTTTGAATCTTGATTGGGAAGTCACTATATCCTATGTATATAGGGAAGCTAACTTTGCCACCGATTACTTGTTGAGTAAGGCTCATGATTATGATTTTAGTACACATCCCTTCAATGTGTGCGACAAAGATCTTGTCAAATGGATCCCTATAATGTAATTGGAGTTTTCCACGAACGTTTTTTTTTTTTGCGCATTGCTTCTACCTTGCTTAAAAAAGGTTGTAAGAGAAACAAGGAACTAGCAACACATTTGTGAGAAGAATCCCAGAAACCAAGTCCACTATTCCTATAAGAGTTGGGGGAGTTTGTTCTCCACTAGGTAGTAGTGGTGTAGCCAGGATTTTATTCATGGGGTGCCGTAAAAAACTTATAAATGCGGTCTCATATTTCATATTGTAAAATTATTCTATGACTATACGAATCTGCCAAACTATCAAATTTCACACTTAATGTATCCCACCAAATAACCATTCACAATATCAGTTCACTAGATGCGAAGGTTAGTCGATGCTTTTGTTGCATAAAATATTATTAACTTGTGCATTGACAATTGGAAATAGCAAATCAAATCTATTTTCACAAGCAAATACATTGATGAAAACTAATTTTCTCTTTCGACTATCGTCATAAAAAAAGTTAATGATTTCCTATAATAATATATGTACATCTTCCTTATCAAAATAATATGTATATCTCTTATCTTGATAAATCAGAATGTATTAATGAGAAATTAGTAGATGAAATTAATTTATATAGTTTATCTTGGTTTAACAATAGAAGATTTGACGATTGACATTGAAATTTAATATTTAAATATAATTATTAACTACCTAATACAACTAATGTTTTGAGCTTTTCTCCAAATCTAAGGGGGTGCCATGGAACCCCCTTATTATACTCTAGCTCCGCCGCTGCTAGGTAGTGTGACAATAATTCCCTGAATAGGCCAACATCTCAAGAAAAAAATTGATCTCACAAGAATGTGGTCATTAGGTCTAGTATCTGGGACCCAAAGACCCTTGCCATACACATTTACAGAGGAGGAGCGGCCAAAATATATCATTCATGGTGGACTGGAATGTTGAGGACACGTTACACAACCCGAAGGGCATCACCACATACTCGTAGTGCTCACTGTGCTTCTGAAAAGAAGTCTTAGGGATATCCTCCTCGCTCATACGAATCTGGTGATATCCAGCGCGAAGATCGAGTATAGTGAAGTGCTTGGCACCATGGAGTTCGTCGAGCATGTCATCCACCGTCGGAATCAGAAACCTGTCCTTTACCGTGACTTGATTTAAGGCACGAAAATCCGTACAGAACCTCCACGTGTCATCCTTCCTTTTGACGAGGAGAATCGGCGATGAGAAAGGGCTAGAGCTTGGTTGGATGAGCCCTATGCGTAGCATCCCCACTACTTGTCTCTCGATTTCTTCCTTTTGCAAATGGGCGTATCAATAGGATATTACATTGACCGCCTCGGTGCCATCCTTGAGGGGAATGCGATGGTCAACGGGTCATCGCGGTGGGAGCTGGGTTGGCGTCTCAAAGAGGCTTTCAAATAGATCGAGTAAACCCTAGAGCTCCTTTGAAGCCGTACGCACGGAATTCTCTAATTCGGGGACGCAGATAGCCCATAGGGCTACGTCGCATGATCAAAGACGATGCAATTGATCATCCTTCTTGATGGTCTTGCGGATTCAATGTAGCTCAATTCACCACTCACTGTTCAAGAACTTTAACATGAGGCGATCCCAATCAATCGTCACCGGTCCCAAATGTCGGAGCCAGCGGATGCCTAGCACGACGTCGAGGCCCTTGATGGGTAGCTCGTACAGGTCCACTGTCATGGGTTTGCCCTGAATGATTGTCTCCATGTTCTTGTAACAACGGTCACAGCGAAGGACGTTCCCATTAGCGAACTTGACCATGAACGGTGGAATCAGAGTGTAGGGGAGCGATGATGCCCTAGTTGTCTCACAATTGATGAAGTTGTGAGATGATCCGCTATCGATTAGCGCCACCAGCGCCTCCTGTTGTAGCAGTATGGCAAACCAAAGAGTTCTCGAATTTGAAACGCGGTTAGGGAAAATAGGGAACTTCCCCGTCGGCCTGCTCGTAATCAGGATCAGGGGGTCGCCCTCGTCGTGGTTCGCCGCCGATGGTGTGATTGTTGACATCCGTGGAGCCGTCATTCTGTTCGCTGCATGGCCCTGGAAAATGGGTCGAGCTCGACTCTATCAAACCGGGCTCTGATACCAATTGATGCATGAGCATCGAGAAAGAGAAAGAGAGTCAAGAGAGGGACTAGGGTTTAGGAGTTTTCTTCTTCTACTTCTCTTATTCCACAATAACCAAATGTATAGTAGTCCTTACAATCCGACGTACGAAAGAAACAAACAAATGAATTAAACCAAAATGGGTCGAGATGCGGCCCGTGAAACATGCAGATCACTCGCGGTACTTCGGGTTGGGACTTGGCTAGCAAGAGGAATGGCGTGGAACCACCATGTACGCATCTATCTTTTGATATTTTTCAACTTACATAAATATTTCACGTTTACCACCCAAATTACTTTCTTTCTAATTCACCACTATCTTTACAAATCGTTTCACCGTTAGTCACCCATCGTTAGTCTCCGTCAGAATCCGTTAACATCGTTAGTTTTTTATGACATGGCAAACAGAATTGCTGACTGGACCGTTAAACAATGACATGTCAATGAGAAAAATTAAAGAAAAAATAAATTAAGTTATCCCTCATCTCACCGTCGTTCCCTGGCCAAATCGCACTATGCCACTTGGGGAAGAAAATCCTCCCGCCGCACGCCCAACCGCGACATCGTCGATCCGAGTCGTCCCTAGTTACTCGTTGTTGCTGCTGCTTCTGAAGGCAGTGAATCTGCGGTGCCCTCGGTGTCCATGTCTCCAGTCCGCCGCCTTCACCGTTAATCAGGCACCGAGGTCATTTCCGCCATCAGTGCCATCGATCTCCTCGTCCCGTCAGCGAGGTCCTTGTTACTACAGTCGTCGATCAAATTTACGCTGCGCCACCGTTGTCTTCTCCTGCCGCCGCTCGTTGCCGTTTCCTCTCAGTACTCTCACCTCTTCTCCGTCAAAACATGGATTCTCATATCTACACTCCAGAATCCAGACCCATGATAAGATAATCCAACTCAACCTTCGAGATTAACGACAAAGGATTCACCTTGTCCTTGATTCCTCTTCTTGGCTCATCTCAAAACTTGTCGTTTCTTGAGCGGTGTCGGCAGCCGGCAAATTCGCTACTGGAATTGACGAATTTCCTCGATTGGAAGTTGAAGAGATGTTGTGGAGCTCGTAGAATCTGGCTTTCCATTCGCTGATCAATTCCCTCTTCTCCTGGCTTCGCCCGACCAATGCGCTCTTCTCCGCCTTCGTCAAATTCGGCTAACGAGTTGTTGCGCAAAGTCGTCGCGCTTCCAGATCTTGTAAGTACAGAAGGCATAGTGCGGCCGAGGAAAGGAGGATGGATCTCGAAGTGGAAAGGAGTTCTCCTAGGATCCATCGGCACCATTTCCCCCAGTTGGAGCAGTGGTGGAGATGGAGCACGATTTGTTGTTCTGGGTGAAGATGGTGAAAGGAAAGAAGACGAGTGGGGGGAAAGCTGCTCCTCTTATTTTTGTCTTATTTTTATTTTTTTATTTTTTTAATCGACATGTCATTGAGTTAACAGCCTACTCAGCAGTTTCATTTGCCACATCATCAAAAAACTTAACAGAATTAACGGCGTCTGACGGAGATTAACGGCGAGTGACTAACGGTGAAACGTTTCGTAAAGTTAGTGGTTAATAAGAAAGAAAAGTAATTTGGGTGGCAAACATGAAAGATTTATTTAATTTAAGTGACCAAACAACTAATTGAGCCAAAATAAAAATAAACAAAAGTTGAATGCTCTACTTAATAAAAAATTGTAAATAAAAGTATTAACTATGAAATTATTATATATAAACCTAAATACAATTTACTGTTCACTAACCATATAGTTAATTTGCACTTAGCTTAATTTCTTCTCTTGACACGTGTACACACGAAACAAGGTAGACGGGGAAAAGAAACAAGTCTTGCCTCATAAGTTGAAAATGGACAAAAAAAAACAAGGGATGAGGAAAAACAAAACAGGGCATTACGTAAGACGGTAAGAGTACAAGGAGGAGAATATGGAGATTCTTTATTAGTACTCATAAGTAGTCGTAAATGACCAAAGAAGTAGAGAGAAAGAATAATAAAAGAACCACCATATTAAAAGAAGATTGTGGCAATGATTTTCTTAATTAGATTTGAATTTGATCATTAAAATTGTAAACCAATTACAAAATCGAATTGGTTTTTAGATTGGATCAGTCATATATACACTAATCGACTGTTTGCAATTGTCCAACACAAGAATCACTTTGATCTAAGTGGTTCACTGGTTTAATGTTGTTCCAAAAAAAATGTAACAACTAAAAAAATATAATGGGAGGCCGAACATGAAAAACTTACGGATTAATAAAATATGTTTCTACTTCCTCTTCGTCTCATTTTTCAATTGCCCTTTGTCTCGCTTTCTTCATTTCAATCTTTGGCGTATTCGTCAGACCCTAACTAGTATAGACGATTTCATAAAACTCTTACCAACATGTCTACAATAATTAATTGTTGAACCATGAACCACTAAATTTTCTATCCAAATGTCCATTTCAATTAAAATAACATAGATTTTTTCCCTACTTATTAGTAGGTATTGTTTCCGTCCTACTAGTATTTGAACGCATGGAATGTTAAGATAAATCCACTTTGTATTCTCTTTGTTTCTCTCTCTAGACTTTTTCTTTCTCATCTAGCTTAAAATTTTCTTTAGTTATACAAGAAACTTACTGTATGTACATATATATCAAATAAAAATTATCAATAAACAATCACTCATTTTTCTACCAAAAATACTAATGGTCATTTTCACAAAATTTATCATTGTAAATACATCAACTTAAAAAGCATCAATTTCAAGAGGCAATCACAACAACTCAATGGTTGATTAGCCTGCGGCAAAGCGCAATCCCATCCTAGTAAAAATATAAACGATGTGTGATAATATATTTTTGAAATCAAATATAACAAATCATAATTATATCTATAAGATTTTGAGGAATACTGACTGAAATTAAATTCCTTTAAAACCGAACTAGCATTGAGCCCGCCCGATGGGCGGGTTAATTAGTGCGTTGAGATCGTAGGTGTAAGCGAAGAAGTCTATACTTGCTCGCATATTCCTTCAGAACCTTAAACATCTATAGTAGGTTTGTTCCTTTTCTTCCCAACCACGGTTTGAAGATTAGTAGTTTATTTCTACAATGGTAAAAAGAAAGGTAAAATTACAAAGATTAGAATAATTAATCAAACACAGTGGTCAACCTAACGTGTAACCGCCAATGAAAGGGCTTGTTTTACCTCAATTGTGCGTTTATTATTAAAACATCTAGGAGCAGGCAATATGTACAACAATCCGACTTTTGTAACTTCAAGTAATGCACCGTGTGGCCCATGAGGTACCTTGCCCGCCACAACTCTTTGAATCACAAGTGAGCAGGCTCATGAGCATGCATTAGGCACCAAGACATAACATCACAAAGCAGTAAGATGCATAAAAAATATCAGTCCTACCATCATTAAACTTGAGTGTTGTCATAGGTAGCCTGGCACCGCCCCTTCCAAAGTCTCCATGCCAAAGGAAGATGGAGTTGCAAAGGGCCCGCCAGGAGAAACTCTATCGGGCTTTTGGATTATTGCCCCCGGTTGATCCCATTCCCATTGCACCTATAAGGAACAGTATTAGTAAAAACATCATATAACAATTACAAAAAAATAAATTGGTGTAGTTGAACTGTATGTAACTTCTAAATCGTAAGTGATCATCTTCAAGGAAAATCTTCAATGCTAACAATAATGCATGTCAATCGAATAATATTAACGCTCATCTCAAGGCGTATGCTTATATAAAATGCATGGTTATTGGCTATCAAATGCTTGTTTATCCCAACAATAAATTTAGTTGTTCTGTGAATAAGTTAAAAAGTTGGAAAACACCAAAAAGGTTAATTGCCCATTATTTAGCATGATAGCACCAAATGAGAACAAATCAGTAGAGTAAGTACAGTGACATAGTAATGCATAAAAATAATAGCATTTGGGGTTGGATTGTTGGAAGAGGGTAAGAAGGCATAGGAGGGTTTTTTTAGTGTGAAAATCAGGGGGTTTTGGCATGTAAGAAGGTGGAGCAAAAGAGGAATCACCTTTGTTTCGCGTGGTGGGTACTTGGTGGTGCTAACTTTGTATCGGAGATGACCATTAACTTCGATCACTGCACAGAAGCATTGAGGTTGGAGAGTACGACAACATTCATACAGAAATCGCTATGGAGTTACCCAAGGGCATATAAAGAGCTTGGTTGAAGAATTAACATGGGTTCATATAGCAGAAAAGATAGAAGTTAAATCTAGCAAATTGGTGGCAGCAGATTGTGGCTAGTCGAGGAAGCAAAAGGCCTGGCGGAATCTGCATTGGGGACCCCGAAACTGTGACCGAACGGCGGTTCCGACCGCTGTCTGATCGTATAAGAGAACCGGCACGGGAAGATCCCAAGATCAATGGGGTTCTTCGGATGGGGTCGATGGTGTCGGTTTTTACTGCTTACAGACCCCGAATCTCAGGCACACTGCCGCAATAGTCAGGGTCCAATCCGGCGGTTGTGAGGGGGGATTTGTGTCCTGGATTCAATTCCGAACAGAGAGCATCACTTATCTCGTATAACCCTTGTGAGATCGGGGAGAAATAACTTTCTCTGGAATTGATACTGTCGGCAGATTTTGTTTAGGGGAGTGGAGAAGCCGATTTATGGATCAACGCTCCGACATCGATAGGGATGAAACCGCAATAGATTTGGTGGACAGTTACAATCAAGGTCCCGGCGGGAGGAAGTAAAAAGGAAGTTGCGTAGAGTCCTGGAGGGTGAAAAAGGAGGGATTTTCCCGTGGAAGAGGAAGAAAGAGTCCAGTTTTAAAGAGCTAACGTGGATGCCTAGACGTTGAGAAGGGATGACGTGGATAGGGTGAAATTCTGAAATCCCTTTAATATTTTTTTAAGGGTTAATTGCATGGTTGGTCACTGAGATTACAAAAAACGTTCATGTTTGGTCACTAGAAATATTTAAATCCAATCTTGGTCACTCAAATTAGTTAAATGGTTCAAGTTTGGTCACTCTCCGTTACCTTCCGTCAATCTCCGTTAACTCCATCAATTTTTTGCTGATGTGGTTAATAGAAATGCCTAGTCACTCAATTTTAATCCGAAAAAATTAAAATTCAACCTGTCACATCATTAAAAAATTTCACATCTAACCCATAAATCAACCTGTGAACCAACCCCCCCCCCCCCCTCTCTCTCTCTCTCTCTCTCTCTCTCTCTATGTGCGTTTCGTCTTCCTCCTCCCCAAGAACTTCAACAGCAACCCCTACCAGTCAAATCCAACTCTAAACCCCCCACCCACCCACCTGAACACCAAGAAAATGAAATTCGAAATTGAAAGCGCTGCCGCCGAACCAACAAACTACACCAACCCCGGCGAGCTAGCTCCAATATGATTATGTTCCTCGCCGACCAAGTAGCAACGGCAGCGATGGCAGCCCACACTCCACGTTGTGTATCAAATCGAAGAACCATAGCGAAAGATAGAGCGACCGACACACTATTGGAGAGAGAAGAGATGGAAAGAGGAGAAGAAAATGAGATTCGGATTAATTAGATCTGGAGCTTCGAGTTTTCCCCTCACCATAAGTCGATCTCTATCGGTTGATGCTCCTTGTGGTAGCACCAGATTCGGGGATGAGGATGTTGGATCGACTTTGAATTGGGATCGACCTAAACTACCAAGGGTTTGGGCCTCCCGTTGATGGTCTCTGAAGTTCGGCCGGAGCAGCGACGTCGAGAGGACTGAAGGGCGGACAAAAGAATCTGGGGAGGTGGAGTAGATGACGAAGGCTGCGATGGGTCGGCGACCTTCCTCATCCTCGCCGGTCGACGACGAGATCCAGACCTGCCCGGCCTTCGCCATTCATCATCGCCTATCTTCGTCATACTCGACCGGAGATTGGTTGGGAATAGAGGAGAGAGAGAGATGCATAATGGAGAGAGGGACATGCGGAGAGGAGAGAGAGAGGGTGGAGGCGGTCGGAATCGGAATATGGGTTATGTATAGGTTTAATTTGGGTTGGTTAATGGGTTGGATTGGAATTTTGATGATGTGGCGTGTCAGATATAAATATTTTGGGTTAAAGTAGGCTGATTGGACGATTCTGTTAGCCATGTCAGCAAAAACCTAACACCGTTAACAAAAATTAACGGAGACTAACGGAGAGTGACCAAACATGACATGTTTTAGTAAACTTAGTGACCAAGATTGGATTTAAATATTTCCAGTGTCCAAACATGAACATTTTTTGTAATCTCAATGACTAATCTTGCAATTGAACCTATTTTTAAGAGAGATTATACACACAAATAGGTAAACAACGAGAGTAGTGCCACGTCAACCCGAGCAAGCACAAACAAAACAACGGCTTGTTTCCGGACCGGCGGATAGGTACGGTTACGGTCCGTCCTTTCACGTTTTCGTCCGGACAAACCGGGCCCTCTCCCACGCCGTACGGTCTGCCACCTCCCCCGGAAGTGATCTGACGGCTCACGTTATTTTCAATCCTTTTCCCGGGGAATCTTTCCCCTTCGCGTTACCGGGCTTCATCACGCCGTTACCTTCCCGCCACGTGGTCCTTCGCAGGTCCCACTTGGCAATCCCAGGGCTCCCGTCCCTTCCCTCCCGCCGCCGCATCTGATTACTTCCCCTCTTCCTTCTATATTAAAACAAGATTCCCCTCCCACCTGATAACTATTATCTCTCTGCTACTTATCACTGCACTTCCTTTCCAGATCCAAAATCTCCCTCATTCCGCTCTCTCCTGCCGCCGTTGCTGCTTCCATTCTCCGGTGAGCCGGTCTCCGCCGCCGCCGAAATGAGTCGGATCCGTAAGATCTGTCTCGTCCTCTCCCGCATCCTCTCCAAACCCTCCCGCCACCTCCTCCTCCATCTCCGCCTCCTCTTCCTCTTCGTCCCCACCTAAATTCTCAATCACACTCTCCCTCTCTACCTCATCCCCCCCCCCCTCTTCGCCGGCGATCAATTACATCGCCAGAGTTCACAAAACCTCTCATTGCTAATCTCAAATTGCAATTTCTCCGGTCCAATTCGAATAAGGTACAAATCGGCAATGTCGATTCTGGCGGTATTGACGGAGGACCTGCTAGTTAGGGTGAACTCCAGAATCGAAGACGGCGCCGACCGGAGATCGTGGCGACTGGTGTGCAAGGAGTTCCTCCGGGTCGATTCACTGACCCGAAAATCTCTCCGGGTCCTGCGGTCCGAGTTCATCTTCTCTCTACTCCGGCGGTTCCCAAACGTCGACGCCCTGGATCTCTCCGCCTGCCCGCGGGTCGACGATGGGATGCTGACACTGCTGCTGGCTCGCGGCGCCGCTTCGACGACGGCGTCGCTTCGTTGGAACTTGAGGTCCCTGAATCTGAGCAGGGCGACGAACGGGATGTCGTTTAAGGGCCTGGCGCTGATTGCTTCGGCGTGTTCGCAGCTGGAGAAACTCGACCTTTCGTATAACTGCAGGCTTGGGGATCGAGAGGCGGCGGCCATTTCAGGGATTGAAGGGCTGAAGGAGCTGAGGTTGGATAAGTGTTTGGAAGTGACCGATGTTGGGCTGGTGAAGATTGCTGTCGGTTGCCAGAAACTGGAGAAGCTCAGCTTGAAATGGTGCATGGAGATATCTGATCTGGGTGTTAATTTGCTCAGCGTCAAGTGTTGGAGTTTGAAGTTTCTTGACATATCTTATCTCAAGGTTTGGAAGCAGTGAATTTAATTTGATATTCTGTGTCCATTCCTGTCTTAATGTGAGCTGGTTGCTAGTTTTGAGCTTACAGAGAACCTTTAAATTATGGCTATTGGTATAGACATCGAAGTCAATTTTGATAATGTGCTGCACTAGTAGTAATCAACGGTTGGTACTTGGGATGGATTGGTTGTTAGGTGACGAATGAATCACTCTGTTCAATTGCTTCTCTGCCGAAATTGGAAGGTTTGACAATGGTGGGTTGTCCTCTGGTCAATGATTCTGGGCTGGAATTCCTTTCTAGAGGACATTCATTGAAGGTATGTTATCAAATGAAATGAGGTAACATTGTGATCATTTGATGCAAGTAGGATGTGTTTTTTGAGTGTGTTTCTCACGTGGTGTAGGAAATTGATATATCAAGGTGTGAAGGTGTTAGTTCGTCTGGATTGGTCTCCTTAATTCGTGCACATTGTAACCTTATGCGGATCATTGCTGGTTATCTTCCTGTAAGCGTGTAATAGTCTGTTGCTGCTTATCTTCTTACTTTGTTTAGCATTGAGAAGTATATTAATCGATCTGCTGTTTCAAGGAACTTTCTGCAGCTCTTCTGGACAGTCTAAAACTCTTGAAGAATCTAACCACACTCATAATCAATGGGACTCAAGTCTCCGATACTGTTCTCCAGACAATCAGCTCCAACTGCAAGTCATTAATCGAGATAGGGTTGAGCAAATGTATAGGAGTGACGAATGTGGGAATTCTGCAGCTCGTGTCCAGCCATCAGAAGTTGAAAGTTCTTGATCTGACGTGCTGTGGCTCAGTTACTGATGCTGCAGTTTGTGCTGTGGCTGACTCTTGCAGTAGCCTGGTACGCCTGAAGTTGGAAGCTTGTTATATGGTCACTGAAAAGGGTCTTGAACGACTTGCATCATCGTGTTTGTTGCTCGAGGAGGTTGATCTCACTGATTGCAGTGGCATAAATGACTCAGGTAGGCTTCATTAAAAACCGTCACTAAAGTCTGGGGTCACCAACATAGCAATCAATGAACTTTGATTTAGCGAGCTTGTCACTTAAATTTGGCATAAACAACATGATATTCGTTTTGTCCATCTCCGCCAAGTTGCTGTCCTGGTTTGTCTATATTCGCTTGTGAACTGACCAAACTTAATAATAAAATAGGTAACGTAGATCCTAATCCTATTATTAGCTATTAGGTTTTATAGCGGAAATGACTGGAGAGGTGATGGAGATGAACGCAAATCTAATCTTTATTTATATTAGTTTAACAACCTAACTTCGTTGACATTTTTATCCAAAATCAAAGTTCGATGGCAGAGTATTTTGCTATATGAAGCTGATTGCAACAACTGTTCTTTCTCATCGGCAGGGCTTGAATGCCTCTCTAGATGCTCAAGGCTTGTCAGCTTAAAGTTGGGGCTCTGTTTTACCATATCAGACAAGGGGCTTTCTTATATCGCCGCCAACTGTTCAGAGCTTTGTGAACTAGATCTATACCGGTAATTTGAACGAAAGAAACCTAGTATATATTGAATGAAACCTAGTATATATTGAATGAAAACATTACACCACAGTGGCTACAGAGAGTAAATGAAATTTGTGTGGTTGTTATTGCAGCTGCACTGGCATTGGAGATGAAACTCTAGCTGCATTGTCAAACGGCTGCAAGAAACTGAAGAAGCTGAACATCTCATACTGCATAGAGATCACTGATAGAGGGATGAAGTCTCTTGGCTCTTTGGGTGAACTGGTCGATCTTGAGATGCGAGGTCTCCACAATGTCACGGGCGTTGGGTTAGCAGCCTTTGCAGCCATGTCCAAGCGACTGGCTGATCTTGACTTGAAGCACTGTGAGAATATCGATGATTCGGGTTTCTGGGCTCTGGCATGTTACTCTCACAACTTGCGCCAGGTGAGAAATGAAACCATATGTGTACAAAATTAAGGATGTGTAGGGATTCAATTTCATACGGAGTCCAATTAGATATAACGGTGCGGTGCGGTATTGTAAAGAAGCATCTCCTGAAATTTGTGCATCAATCAATGGCAGATAAACTTGAGCAACTGCAACATCTCGGATGTAACATTGTGCATGGTGATGGGGAACTTGACTCGGCTGCAAGAGGCGAAGCTGGTGCACCTACCGAACATTACCGTGGAAGGGTTCGAGCTCGCGTTGAGGGCTTGTTGTGTTCGAATCAAGAAGGTGAAGATGGTCTCTGAACTCAGGCTCTTGCTTTCGTCGGAGATACTCGAGATATTGCATGCTAAAGGTTGCATAATCAGGTGGGATTAGCTATAAAAAACCCCTTTCAGTACCAGTTCCAGTTCCAGCTTTAGTCTTTTTTCCCCCTTCTTTTCTCTGTTGTACAAGTTGATGGTGTTTTGTGTTGTTGAGGCTTATCTGCGGCTGTATTATTAAGTAATAAGAGGGAACTTTTGAGAGAAGAACCAGGTGTGTTTCATTGTGTTGTTGATAGACAATTTGATTATTTGGGTTTTATATTCGGATTGAATTATTTTGCTCGGGCTTATTTTGGTTATTGGGGAATAATTTGGGGATTTATAAGTTGGGGTAGTTAGTAGGTAATTGTGTTTGGATATTTAAACTCTTGTTTACGTAGGAAAGGCAAGCAAAGATTAAACTTAAAAACTACTCTCTCTTCTCTTTCCTTGGCCGCCGAGTCTTTCCCTCTCCCTCTCAAAGCTGCCGATCGGCAGCCCCCTTTACCCCTTCCTTCTTCTTTCCTCAATCCCTCCTCAATCACCTTCCTCCAATTCCCAAATTCCCGAATCAATCTCTAATTGATCTCCAACCCCCAATCCCTCGATAGAGCTCAATCGAGAGCTCTATCATTTGGTATCAGAGCCCGTTTCTTGGGTTCGTGAGCAAACGAAGAACGGCGATCGAGATGGTGTCAACGAAGTTCTTGCAAGCAATTGAGAAGGCCACCAAGGCGATGAAGAGGATCCCTATTCTACCAGAACCAGCCAGGGGGTGACTCGGTTTATGACATGTATGGTTCGTATCACCCTGCCTATGATGGAACTGATGGGATGGTCTTTCGAGCCAAGCCCCCGATCATTGAGTTCCCGAAATTTAACGGTCAGGAGGATGCAGGGCTGTGGTTGTATGATGCGGAGAGGTGGTTCAGGAATCACCCCATACCGGAGGAGAGGAAGACGCATCTAGCGTCCATCTACTTAGAAGGTGAAGCACTACAGTGGTGGGAGTGGATGAAGAGATCCTATGGGGCAGCGGGAACCTTGATCACCTGGCCGATGTTTCAGGAGGAGCTCCGTTACCAGTTCGGTAAATCGGAGGGGTGCGCCCCGGAGCAGTTGGCTAAGCTGAAGCAGACCGACTCAGTTGCGGATTATCTTGCGGAGTTCTTCAAGCTGGGCAATCAATATCGTGGGGTCCCAGAGGATACATTGGTGGGGATGTGTATGACAGGCCTAAAGCCGGAGATTGCTGCTGCCATCCGGGCCTTTGAGCCGGACTCCTTGAAATCTGCTTTTCGTCTTGCAAGGTATAAGGAAGAGGAGCTTGCGAGTTGGAGGAGCACCATAGGGCACTACCCGCGAACCAGTGGCGCGGGGAGCAGTGGCGGAGCTGGCAGTGGAGGAGGAGGAGGAGACGTTGCTGGAGCAACCGCGGGAGCTGGAGGATCAGCGGCGGCGCCGGCGCCAGTGGCTACGGCGAAGGGTGGGATGCGGCCGCCACCGAAAGGGTTCGTGCGGTTGTCGCCTGTGGAGATCGAGCAGAAGAGGCGGGAAGGGAAGTGCTTTAATTGTGGCGAGAGGTTCACGATCGGTCACAAGTGTGCACGTCCCGACTTGATGATGCTGGTCGGAAGGTGGGAGGACGAGGCAGAGGATGAGGCGAGAGAAGGAGAAGAAGCAGTGGAAGGCTAACAACCTTGAGGACAAGGTTGTTTTGAAGAGAGCGGGAATGATAAACGATTTGATTATTTGGGTTTTATATTCGGATTGAATTATTTTGTTCGAGCTTATTTTGGTTATTGGGAATTTATAAGTTAGGGTAGTTAGTAGGTAATTGTGTTTGGATATTTAAACTCTTGTTTACGTAGGAAAGGCAAGCAAAGATTAAACCTAAAAACTACTCTCTCTCTTCTCTTTCCCTGGTCGCCGAGCCTTCCCTCTCCTTCTCAAAGCTGCCGATCGGCAGCCCCCTTTTCCCCTTCCTTCTTCTTTCCTCAATCCCTCCTCAATCACCTTCCTCCAATTCCCGGATCAATCCCTAATTGATCCCAACCCCCAAGCCCTCGATAGAGCTTAATCCGGAGCTCTATCAGCTGTCCTTGGTTGGAGGGTAGGGTGCCCTTGGGATAATAGGTGCTAGCAGGGAGTTATCTTTTTGTTGCACCTCATCCATCTTTGATTATTGTAATGTAATAATGCCTAATCACTTGCTAATTCTGGATACTGAGTCATGCTTTCTGTAATCAACTACGTACTAATTCTGGACCCTGTGGTTCAAGTTTGTATTGTACTGTGAAGGAGCTGATACGAATCTGTACAAAGCTTGAGGAATGCTTGTAAGCTATAAGTGGAACAAGCAAGAATAGGAGGCTAAAGTGGAGTTGAGAAAGAAAGCATAACGTGGGACTCTGGAAAGAAGGACGAAAAGAAAGGTATTCTAATGGCCGAAAGGGAAAGCCTATTGCACACAGTTTAGCCTCTTTCCTTCCTCACTAAACAATTCCTTCCCCATTTATCATGCCCGCCTATCTATAAGTGTTTCTCCATTCATGAAAAGATCACATAAACAAATAATCTCTCCATTCCATAGTGTGTTGATCCTTTCTTTTTTCCCCTTGTCTCTCATGAAAAAGATGGCAGCCTTTGCCATTTTCTTATTCATCCTAACCCTAGCACCTTCCCTTCAAGCCGCCTCATCCGAAGACACTGCATCGATCCCGGTCGCTAGGCCAACATCAGTCATTCACAACTTCTCGGCGGAAGCATGGATGGAGAAGGCATGTGCCGGAGTCATGAATCGAGAAACTTGCGTCGCAAGTTTGCAGGAACATCACGATGAAGGATCCAGGCATACCCCTGCCTCGATCCTAACTGCAGCAATGCGGTCCACATTGAAAGAGGCGAGATCGGCCATTGACACAATGACCAAGTTCACCGCCTTGTCGTTCAGCTACAGGGAGCAGGTGGCCGTCGAGGACTGCAAGGAGCTCCTCGACTTTTCTGTCTCCGAGCTGGCTTGGTCCCTGGCAGAAATGAACATGGTTCGTGCTCGTGCTGCTGGTGTTGCCCAACAACAACAACAACAGCAGGGCGAGCCCATCCTTGAGAGCTCGGAAGGAAACCTCAAGGCATGGCTCAGCGCTGCACTGAGTAATCAGGACACGTGCCTCGAAGGGTTCGAAGGCACGGACAGGCACGTAGAGAAATTCATCAGGGGGAGCCTGAAGCAGGTCACCCAGCTCATCGGCAACGTCCTGGCTCTGTACACCGAGCTTCACACCATGCCCTTTCGAGGCACACCATCGACGAGAGACCATCGTCCAGTGCCCGTAGTGACCCACTCGAGCCCCGAGTTCCCCGACTGGATGGTGGAGAGCGACCGGAAGGCGGTCAGGAGCAGTCCTCATGACATGCGGATTGATGCGGTCGTGGCACTAGATGGGAGCGGCCATTTCAGGACAATTGGAGACGCCGTGGACCGAGCTCCGCCGCATGGCATTCGGAGGTACGTGATTTTCATCAAGAAGGGAATTTACCGTGAGAACATTGACTTGAAGAAGAAGAAAACAAACATCATGCTTGTTGGAGAAGGCATCGGCCAGACCATTGTGACGGGGAACCGTAACTTCATGCAAGGTTGGACAACTTTCAGAACCGCCACCTTTGGTAAGTTTCCCCAAATTTTTAGTCCCCCTCGAGTTTCTTTCTCACCACCTTTTAGTCACTAAAGATTTTGGGATTGGCAAAATAAGCCCCCCACCCACCAAGATTCAAGTTGTTGCAACTTAGGCATTTCATTTTCATGCTAACCATATCCATGTGTAGCCGTTTCTGGGAAGGGGTTCATAGCAAGAGACATAACATTCCGCAACACGGCTGGGCCAGCGAACCACCAAGCCGTCGCCCTTAGAGTCGACTCGGACCAATCTGCATTCTACAGATGCAGCATGGAAGGGTATCAGGACACCCTGTACGCCCATTCCCTGCGCCAGTTCTACCGCGAGTGCGAAATCTACGGCACCATAGACTACATTTTTGGCAACGGTGCGGCCGTGTTCCAGAACTGCAAGATACACACTCGGGTCCCTCTCCCCATGCAGAAGGTCACCATCACGGCCCAGGGCAGGAAGAGCCCGCACCAGAGCACGGGGTTCTCGATCCAGGACAGCTTCGTCTACGCGACGCAGCTCACGTTCCTGGGCCGGCCCTGGAAGGAGTACTCCAGGACGGTGTTTATGAACACCTACATGAGCGGCTCGGTCCAGCCCAGAGGGTGGCTCGAGTGGTTCGGCAACTTTGGGCTTGGTACATTGTGGTACGGTGAGTACAAGAACTACGGGCCGGGGGCTTCACTCTCGGGCCGGGTCAAGTGGCCTGGATACCACATTATAAAGGATGCCGCCACGGCTAGGTTCTTCACGGTGGGGCAGTTCATCGACGGCGGGTCCTGGCTCCCGGCCACGGGAGTGAAGTTCACGGCGGGTCTCAGCAACTAATTGGGTTGAAGCCTTGGACTTCGGTGATTTAATATAATTGTTTATTGGGCTTGGCCCATTTGTGATGGGCTGATGTAGAGAGGCCACCGACGGGTATATTGTTGATGGGCCGGTGACGGTGGTGAGGTGATCGGTTGACATTTGACCGAGTCAGTCACTCGGTTTCATTTTATTTGTAGTAGGTAAATTGTATTATATGATGATTTTTTAATGTAATTAAACAGAAGAAATTGTAAAAGCCAAAAGCATTTATTTGCATGCATATAAAGTCAAGGTGGGTATTAATTATTGCCCACATGCGACGGCGCCTCGCTTTCCATTACATTCCAAATAAGCTTTGCTGGCAAAAATGGCGACTTCCACCACCAAATGAAATAAAGATAATCAATGGAAGAACCAAGTTAGACAGTTAAATTAATCAATTAATAATCATTACAATTGATGATCAACAGAACTTCATGGTGGCTTAGAAATATCGATCACAGTCAATTTTACATACATTATGGATAAGAGAAAGTTAGGTTGAAGATGGAAGGAGTTATAGATATTTCAATTTTTTTTGGTTGAAATTGGAGAGCTTCAGGGGCGTCCTAACCCTTAACCATTAATAAAACAAGGAGTTGTCACTCCAATAAATCAAAGTACAACCAGTAATTCATGAGAAGACAGGGAGTCGGAAACGAATGGACTCCCAAAGAAAAAGTGTAACCGAGGGAAGCTAGGTAGTCAGCTACAAAGTTTGCTTCCCTAAAAATATGCTCAATACGAACCTGCCATGGCAAAGATATCAAGCGTTTAATCTCCCTCACAACAACAAAATGTGGGTGGTTTGGTTGAGCCGACTGAATCAGCTGAATGGCAATCTGCGAGTCTGACTGTAGAATCACCTTCCTAAGCCCCAGTTCCAAGCAATCTTGAGACCATACGCAATCCCAGTCAGCTTTGCACGGGTAATTGAACCCCCTCCAAGGTTCAAAAAAAAGAATGAATGAAACGGTCGTCATCGCCCCTCACGACGCCGCCTGCTGCCGTGCTCGAAGGAGAGTAGATGACAGAACCATCTGTGTTGATGGTTGTCCAACCAGTCTGAGGTAACTCCCATCTAATTAACCTCCTCTCTCTAGTTTGCCAGTCCCCGAACAGGAGACTCTCCTTCTTGAAGGCCGAGATAGTGTTATGCCTGAGCTGCTTGGCGCGAAACTGAGTGTGCGGAATGGTCTCAATCTTGCCTTCAAACTTGTGATTATTCTGGTTTTTCCATAGGAGCCAACATGTGCCTGCAAAGAGAGTAGCGTCGATGGACTTGCCACGACCAGACATGTAGTGAAGGAACCAATGAAATGGGTCAAACTGAAAGAATTCCTTGTCTGGTTCATGTTCCAAGAATTCCGCCCACACACCTCTAGCATATGGGCAGTCTCGAAGGACACGAGTCACGGTTTTAGCACCATCTCCACACACAGGGCATGTCGGTGTCATTGTAAGATGGCGTCTTTGTCGCTCCGCGTTGGTGAGAAGACGACCTTGAGTAGCGAGCTAGAGGAAGGCTTGAACGCGCCTGGTCGTCAGAGTACGCCAAATTGCACGCCAAATGGGATGCGTCACTGGAGGTTCCTCTTCCTCCGTATTAAGATCATAAGCATTGCGCATGGAGAATTTTCCCGATGAAGAAAGCCTCCACACCCTCATGTCTGGACCTTCCTCGTGGGGGACCGGAAGGAGTAAGACCTGCGAGACAATAGCATTGGTTAAGAAAGCATTTAGGTAGCTCACATTCCACTCACCATTCAACACCATCTCCGCCACAGTCAAGGTTTGAGCCTCCGGCGGTAGGTTGACAGCAAGCTCCGCAAGGGTAGGTCCATCCAACAACCATCTATTGATCCAGAACCGGGTTTGTCGACCACTCTGAATGTTCCACATGGTGGCAGCCGGTAGCAAGTTCCAGATCCTCAGAACTCCCCGCCATAAATTAGAGATGCGTCCCGAAGTCCGTGGTTGCAAACCATCCACTATCTCCTGCAAATATTTGGCACGAACAACTCAAGCCCAGAGTGCCTCGGGCTCGGCAAGTAAGCGCCAAGCTAGCTTTAACATAAAAGCTTCATTAGTCCTTGTTGCCGATCGTAGCCCTAGCCCGCCTTCATCAATTGGGTGGCAGATGGTCTCCCAATCGACTTGGTGGATCTTTCGGCCTGATTCTGTGCTTCCCCAGATGAAGTATCGAGTTTTCCAATCGATGTAGTCTCTAACACTAGCGGGGAGGAAACTTGTCTGCATAGTATAAGCAGGAAGAGAAGCAAGCACTGATTGCACAAGAGTGATCCTCGCAGCTAGCGACATGGTGTTCGCCTTCCAACCCGCCAGGCAGGTATTGATCCTGTCGATGAGGTCCACGTATGTCGCCTTCGATATCCTATCATGGATAACAGGAACTCCAAGGTAGCGTCCAAGGTTCATCGTCATTGGGATATCAAGGGCCGCACTTAACTCTGAGCTACGAGCATGTGTAACATTCTTTGAGAAAAATACCCGAGACTTGGGTTTGCTGATTTGTTGGCAAGAGGCAAGGCTAAAGGTCTCAAAACAATGAGAGATGGTTGTGATCTGAGTCGTGGATGCCTCGCCCAATAGGATCAAGTCATCTGCGGAAAAAAAATATGTGACAAAGATGACACATGTGTAGTAAGCCGAATTGGCTTCCAGAACCCGTTAGTGACACAACCAGAAATAAGATGACTCAATCTTTCCATGCATAAAGTGGATAAATACGGGGATAACGGACAACCCTGCTCAAACCTCATGAAGGGGAGAACGTATAAGAGAGGCCACCATTCCATTTCACACGCATACTGGAGGAAGTGATGCATTGCATGGTGATCTCGATGAAGGGTGGAGGTGCACCCACAGCCTGAAGCGTGTCTCTGACAAATTCCCACTTGATTCGATCATAAGCCTTGTCTAAATCAACCTTGACCACCATCCAACCAGTACGACCTTGCTTGGAACGCATCGAGTGGACAACTTCTTGCAGAATACATATGTTATCAGTGATTTATCGTCTAGGAACGAAACTCGTCTGTGTTTCTGCAACCAGCTCCTGCATTAGACTCGTCAAACGTTCCGCCAGGCACTTGGTAACGATTTTGTAGGTGACGTTACACAAGCTAATTGGGCGAAACTGCTCCACTTGAGTTGGTGTAGGGACCTTGGGAATAACCACAATGATAGTTTCATTAACCTCCTTGATTCGGGTTGGATCCACCCAACAAGCGAAGATAAAATATAGGTAAAACTACTTCGTAATGAATTTAGAAAATAAAGTACTCGATAAAGTTTTAGTCCCCTCCGCAATTATACCGGTTCAAATTAGTTTCTTTATTCAGATTTATGACTCCACCAATGAATAAGATGAGTAATAAAGTCAATTTTGGACACGATTTGGCCGCAATAGTCTTTAAATTGCGTGAATATTAATTGCAGCATGAATAAATGGGAGGGGTGGGCAATGTGCGGGTTGGGTGAGTTCGGTATCAAATTGACTCACCCGCTTACTAGTGAGTTGGTATAATTGTGACCCGCTATCCACCCACATTCTTCTGCGGGTTGGGTTGGGTCGTGGGTTAAGCCTAAATAAGAATTCTCTAACTAGCCATTAAGAAAGTTTACTAACATTTATGATAAGTTCCTTGTAAATTAGTAAGATTGTATCAATTTAGACACTTCCCACTTTGTCTCATGTGAATCCATGTAGTATTTGTATCAAAATTTTCAATACTTTATCAACCAATTGTGTAGAGAAATTGAGAAAACCGATGCATTTAGAGACTTTGATAAAATTAATTGATTATAATTTGCATCCAATATCTAATGGATATTACACAATACAATAACCAATAATAGTAGTCCAAAACCATGATTTATTCTCTATTTTTAGAAGTAGATGGTCATTGTTTAGGGTGGTTAGTAAATACGATGAATATTAGATAGCATAAGAAAAAAATATTTTGTCAAGTGAAGATATAGTGCGGGTTATTCGCGTCACCCACAATCCACTCACCCACATAAGTGCGGGTAGTGTTAATTATATGAGGACCTTATTGTAAATAACCTTCGTATAGGTTATGTAGCTAGGGTTTGGTGTGAGCAAACCTATATAAACTATTGTTCCTGTACCGAAGAGTTTACGTCGAATAATAATACCTAAAACCTGAGAGGGAGATCCTCTCCGTGGACTAGTGTCTAATGACGATACCACGTTAAAAAACTTTCGTGTTCTTTTGTTTCTTTAGCTAAATTGACATGGTATCAGAGCTGAGATCCAGCCTTTGATTGGTCTCAGGATTATACTTCGTCTCAGGCTTGTGTGTGGCGCGACTTGGGTGTTAATCTCGGTTCCCTGGAAATCTTCTTCTTTCCTTTTGTTCGCCGTTCATTTTTCTACTTTATTGATTCCGTGCTCGTCTTTTTGTGGTTTCTTTAGGTGGCGTTATCAGGATGGACTTAGGACGTTTTGATGGTATCTCTACGAAGTTGGACGGCAAGAACTTCGCACTATGGGAATTCCAATTTAGGAATTTTATTGTCGGCAAAGGGCTGCTCCCGATTCTGACTGGGACTCAGTTGCAACCAGCTGATACCGCGCCGGTGAAGGAACGTGCGGATTGGGCTATGGCTAACGCCCAGGTTATTTCATCGCTCGCAAGCTCTGTGGATGTTTCGATGGCCCTTGCCTTGCGTCAGTTTACGATGGCACATGAGATGTGGTCCCGCATCTGCAAGACGTATTCCCAGGCCAACTCTTCCCGACAATTTGATCTAGAATTTGCAATCACCAAGCTGGTACAGGGCGATTATGATGTAAGGGGATATTATCAGGCTAGCCTCAATTTATGGACAGAGTTTGATCTTCTTATGGCTTCTCTCTCCCGAAGCTATTACTCCACAGGTCATTAAGGAACGAATCGATCTCGCCTTATGCAGTTCATCATGAAACTCCGCCCCGAGTTTGAGACAGTTCGTGCTTCGATTATACATCGCGGGGTTACTGAGTTTGATGAGGTGCTCGGTTAACTATTACGTGAAGAAACAAGATTGCGGAGTCAGGCCCAGATTGACAACCTTTCTCCTGCTGGTGATGCTGCATTTGCAGTATGTAAAGGTCGCAATAATCGCCCCCAGTTTCAGTCCCAAGGTACAAGCACCCTCACTTGTCATTTTTGCCATGAGATAGGCCACATCCAGCCACATTGTAAGAAAAGAAATATATGTATATATTGAAAGAGAGCTGGCCATATAATTCTTGAGTGTAAGACACTAGAAAGGAAAGGTGGTTTTCGTCCTGATTATGGTGGCAAGCGTGTGAATTCTGGGTCCTCAGCTGGCGGCCCAATCTATGTTGTAGTCGAGAAGAATTCTTCATCAGGAAGCTCCTCCACTTTGAGTGCAATGGCTGGCAGCGATCTTCCTTCCGATGCAATTCGCCATTTAGTTCAGGAGGCACTTCAGGCTGCTCTCCCGCAGGCTTTGAATGCAGCTTTTGCCACAGCTGGTGCGTCAGGTAAATTCCCATTGGTTATTAGATTTTACGACTTTTAACCATATGTCGAGTGCTCGTAATTGTTTCACCCAGCTTCGGCAAGTCGAGCCTATGAAGTTACAGGTTGCCAATGGGGATAATATTCCCGTTCAGAGGTCCGGTTTAGTGTCTTCTGGAAAGATCCACTTATCAAATGCTCTCTACGTTCCCGAACTCGTTCCCAACCTTGTCTCCATGGGTCAATTAGCAGAGGATAATTGCAGTGTGATGCTTAACTCTGATGGATGTATCGTGCAGGATCGGAAAACAAGGAGGGTGATCGGGAAGGGGCATAAGAAGGGTCGGGTTTTTGTCTTGGATGAGTAAAAGAAGTTCGGGATGATGGATGAATTGGCGGCAGCGGCACAAGGATTCTCTAGTGGGAGCTCGGCTGGAGTACCTACTACTAGTGATGTGTTTCCTTTTTATTATCAGACAGACACGACAATTTCTAATAAGCTAGGCCATGAGACTTGGGATTTATGGCACCGTCGTCTGGGACATCCCCATTCTGTCAAACCCGATTCATTGGATTTTACTATTCACTCTTCTACTTGGGATTTATGGCACCGTCGTCTGGGACATCCCCATTCGGCACGATTGTTAAGTATGTTTCGAACAAATTTGTTGCCTGATCAGTTGAGTTCTGGTTTTGGATCACCTAGTTCGTGTGTGAGTTGCATCGAAACAAAAATGTCTCAGTTATCTTTCATGCCTAGCAATACTGAATATCGTGATCCCTTCAATTTAATTTATACTGATTTGTGGGGGCCCTCGCCGGTTACCTCTCGCCTGGGTTTCCGATACTTTGCCCTGTTCATTGACTATGCCACGCGATATACGTGGATTTATTTCTTACGGCGCAAGTCCGAGTTAGTCACTCATGCGCAACACTTTGTTAAAATGATCCAGAAACAGTTTCACAAGACAGTAAAGGTTGTTCGTTCTGATCATGGAGGGGAGTTCAGCTCCCAACCCCTTCTCGAGTTCTATGCTTCTCATGGAATTCTTAGTCAGCACTCATGTCCTGAAGTATCACAACAAAATGGGCTCGTTGAGCACAAGAATCAGCATATGTTGGAACTAACACGGGCAACCTTATTTCATTCATGCGTACCCACTGTGTCTTGGGTCGAAGCAGTGCGCACTGTGGTTTATCTGATAAATCGCCAGGTGTCTTCTGTTCTTGGCAATCGATCTCCTTATCAGGCACTCTTTCATCGAGCTCCGAACTACTCATTTCTCCGGGTATTTGGCTGTCTTTGTTACGTCTTACTCCCGAAACGTGATCGTCACAAGCTAGCTCCTAAAACTGTCTGGTGTGTCTTCCTTGGGTATGATGATGAGCACAAGGGGTACCTATGCTATGACACAGTGCAACGTCGTATGCATGTTGCGTACCATGTTATGTTTCTTGAACAGGTTATGCACTATTCCTTGGCTAAAGACACACCTCCTGCTTCCCTTGACTTTCTTCGCCCTGTGCAGTTTATGGAACTTCCGCCTGTCGAAGTACACCCACCAGAGGAAGACCCAGCTGACCATGATAATGCCGCCTCACCGCCCCATACTCCCTCTATTCACATCAGCTCCACTTCGTCATCTGGCACTTCCTCGACTCCAGGTGCGGTTTTGTCATTTTCCCCACCGACTTTGTCTCTTGGCGTGAATTCTAGCTCGGTTGGGAGCTCCAGTTCCTCTTCGCACATGGGTGGTGGGGAGTCATCAGAGTTGGGGGAAGGCATGGATACTAATCTGCCGACTCCACCTCCATTACCTCGTCGTTCTGATCGGGTAAATAAAGGAGCCCCGCCGGTTAAGTTTTTGGATTATGTGGGGTATTCAGCCGATGCTATCCCCATTCCCACTCACTACAGGTTTGCTAAAGGCCATCCAGAGTGGGATGAGGCAATGCAAGTAGAGACTGATGAATTAGAAGCAAACAATACATGGGAGTTGGTTCCTAGAACTCCGGAAATGTCAGTTATTGTATCAAAGTGGGTATATAATGTAAAGGTCAAACCGGATGGGACACTAGAACGCTTCAAGGCAAGAGTAGTAGCTCAAGAATTTCGAAAAGAGTTCGGCATTGATTACCACGAGACCTTTGCTCCCGTCGCGAAAATGCCAACGGTACGCACTCTTCTAGCTCTTGCAGCAATGAAGGGATGGTCGCTAATACAGTTCGACGTGAAGAACGCCTTTCTTCACGGTGATCTTAAGGAAACTATCTACATGGATCCACCTCCTGGGTACAAGAAGGCAGGACCGAACATTGTTTGTAAGCTGATCAAATCTCTTTATGGTCTAAAACAAGCTCCTGAGCTCGGTTCGAGAAATTTCACGGAATGATTCTGCAGGCTGGTTTTCAACAAAGTCACAATGATCCCTCGTTGTTTATTCGGAAAACTGTCCAAGGGATAATTTCTCTGCTGCTTTATGTGGATGACATGGTAGTTACGGGAGATGATAAAGAAGGAATTCAAGAGCTGACAAACACCCTTCATCAAGCGTTCAATCTAAAAGAACTAGGCGAGGTTGCTTACTTCTTGGGTTTAGAGGTTCGGCGTACAGCTCAGGGGTTATTCGTGTGCCAAAAGAAGTACATTTTGGATTTGCTAGCTTCGACGCAGTTTGAGGATTGCAGGCCGTGTTCCACTCCCATGGAACAGAACCTGAAGTTGAGCAAAGATGATGGAGATTTATTAGATGATCAAGCTTTCTATAGAAGTGTGGTGGGTAGTCTGATCTATCTTACTCACACATGGCCATATATCTCATATGTTGTGCAAGTTGTGAGCCAGTTTCTGGGAATTGCTACGAAAACACACTTGGATGCAGTGAATCGATTGCTGTGTTATCTCATACATACAAGTGATATAGGTTTATTCTTTCCAACAGGAGGAGAACCGAAAATAGAAGCCTTTGCCGATGCTGATTATGAGGGATGCTTGGAAACCAGGCGCTCAACATCTGGTTGGTGGGTAAAGATGGGGAATTCATTTGTTTCTTGGAGATGCAGAAAACAAGATCGAGTATCCAAATCCTCAACAGAAGCAGAATATCACTCAATGTCTGAGGTAAGCTCAGAAATGGTCTGGTTGCATAGACTCGTTGAAGAATTGGGTGTTTCTTGTATTAGTCCTATGGTGATTAATGGAGACAACACCAGTGCAATCCAAATTGCATTAAATCATGTCTTGCATGATCGGACTAAGCACATTGAAGTGCACGTACATTATATTTGGTAGCTGGTGGCGGAAGGATCAATTCAGCTTCGGTACTTGAGAACGGATGAGCAGCTAGCAGATGTGTTGACAAAGGCTGTATCATCGAGCAGACACTGGTATCTTTCTTCCAAATTGATGTTGAGAACCCAATGTCAATTTGAGGGAGGATGTTAATTATATGAGGACCATATTGTAAATAACCTTCGTATAGGTTATGTAGCTAGGGTTTGGTGTGAGCAAACCTATATAAACTATTGTGCCTGTACCGAAGAGTTTACGTCGAATAATAATACCTAAAACCTGAGAGGGAGATCCTCTTCGTGGACTAGTGTCTAACGACGATACCACGTTAAAAAACTTTCGTGTTCTTTCATTTCTTTAGCTAAATTGATAGGTAGAAACTTTATCAACCCGATATCCACCCACTGCTTGCAGTTCAGATTGTCTATGAATGGATCGATATCAACCTGCGGATTAACCACCCACATTTTTGTCCTTCCCGCCTTATATGTTTCTGTCTTAAACTATCTCGATTTTATTTAAAAAATTGGTTAACAATCATCATATCATGTATAAATCATAAATCATAATTAAGGTTTATTAGTTAATTAGCTTTAGTTCATTGATTAGCTAGATCATATGCATGATACGACTTTGGGTTCGTTCATCATTGATTACTACCTATTCATTTTTCCTTTCAAGTACGTTCTGTCTTCACATTGAGTTTGAAGATCCCTTGAGCTGACTTTCTGTTTACAATTTACACGTTCTCTATAAATTTATTTATCCACCGCAAGCCAACCAATGGGTTTTGCCAGCAGCATGCATGGCTGTGGAATTTTGACTCTGGAACTGGATAATTTAAGGGTTTAAACGCAAGATTTCTTATTTAAACGTTGGAGAGCGCCCCCGAGATTCCGAGCAACTATGAGCCTAAAAGTATAGCTAGCTAGCTAGGTTTTTGTTGCTAATAGCTTCAGTTCCTTGATTTCCACGAAAAGTATCTTACTTGGAGAGGTCATAATAAATCATCATTAAGCAAATGCATATATGAACTAAATTTTGTGACTGCGAACAAGAGAGACAATGAAAAAGAGGGGGAAACAAAGAGAAAAAATTGCATTGTCCGACAAACCTCAATCTTACCACAACTCAAACAACCGGCTACAAACAACCTTAGTGACGCTCTGGTGCTGTCACTCTCTCGACAACACAACATTGGTTGAAGTATTCCCCTACAGAAACAAAAACAACAAAGCCCCACAAAGCGCGGTAGTGAGCAACTTTTTCTTTTCTCGTTTTTACCGATCACAACAAGGACAGGAGGGCATTAATAAAAGAAAGACAAAGAGGACAAAAGCACAGACTGCACTGCACACTCTGCTTGCTTCAGCTCTGGCGCTGCTCTCGATTCCTTTGACCTTGTCTTGCCTCCTTCCTTTTTCAATAACATTGGCTCACTAACCAAAACAATAATCAGAGATTTGCTATCCCTTAAACTTAAACCACGAAGACAATAATCAACCCTTCCATTGGATGATAAGTTGATTCAAATCGCATATTGTGATCCAATCGCGCATTGACATCGTCGGATTATGCAGATCTATAACCTGGTCATTTTGTTACTAAATATGCAGCAGTAGTGTTTATACTTGAGTCTTGACACCTCCATCAGCAAGGTAACAAATTTGCAAGTGATCTTTTACTTGACTCTATCAAGGATTCCAAACCAATGAAGACTTGAGAAATAAAAAAACAAAGAAGGAATCATGGCTAAATGCTGGATTCCATCCCATTCCCATGGTAGGCCTCAAAAATCTACAGCAGCTTCCATATGCAGAAACATGCCTACCTGACAATAACCCACTAGCTCCTCCTCCAACAACTTGCCCCTTTCAATAATCCTATCCATCCATCCACCTCTCTCATTAAATAGAATCCAACCAAATTAAGAACAAAACCCTCTTACGCGTTTATTTCCAAATCTCTTCTCTCCAGTTCACTCACATGTTAGAGATCCACCTTCCATTTTTTCTTCTATAAACAATTCCACCTCTAACTCAGTCAAACATGCTTCAAATGACTAGTATATAGAGGCATAGAGCTACTACATATTAGGGAAGCAAATCGAACATACCTCTTACAAACTGAGCTCTGAACTCCTCTCACATTAACAATGGCTACTTCCAAGCTTTCCCCTTTCTTCTTCCCCACCATTCTTCTCCTCCTCGCCTTCTCCCTCCCCATTTCATCTCCTCAATCAACTAACTCCACCGCTGCCGCCCCGACCAACTTCTGCAGCACAACTCCATACCCATCATTCTGCAGATCGACTCTGCCGTACAACAAAACCAGCACCATTCATGACTACACTAGAAAATCAGTCAAACAATCTCTCTCCCAGGGCAGGCAATTCCTTCGGCTGATCAACTACCTTATCAGAACAGCTTCCAGGTCCAAACCCTTCCAAACTCTCATTCCTCCGCTGCAGGACTGCAAGTTCCTGGCCCAGATGAATGTGGACTCGCTGTCGGACACCATGTCCACAATCAACTCAAGGAACAACCTTTCCAGCTTCACAGCCAGCGACTTGCAGACCCTTCTGAGTGCCACGTTGACCAACCTCGACACTTGCCTCGACGGGATTCGTGCCGCGGATTCCAGCTCCACTGTGGTCAGCGGCCTTGTAGCTCCTTTGCTCAATGGCACGAAGTATTGCAGTGTGTCTCTGGCACTTTTCGCCAAAGGTTGGGTTCCTCCTCCCAGAAAGAGGAACAAGGGCAGAGGCCTTATGGAGAGCCGTCACATTTTCTCCCATCTCGATCTCACCCATGGTTTGCCGTTGATAATGTCGAGCCAGGATCGTCGCGTGTTCGAGTCCTTCGATGGTGGTAGGAGGAAGCTTCTCCAAGCTCCCATTGGTGGGATTTCCGTGAGCCAGATGGTGGTTGTGGACAAGAAGGGAGGTGGGAACTTTACAAACATTAATGATGCCATTGCTGCAGCTCCTAATGCAACAAATGGGGTCGTACCTGGTAACAGCTACTTTGTCATTTATGTGACAAAGGGTTTGTATGAAGAGTACATTTCCATACAAAAGAACAAGCAGAACTTGATGATGGTCGGAGATGGAATTGGCCGGACAACCATTACTGGGAACCACAGTGTCGTCGATGGCTGGACCACATTCAATTCCTCCACATTCGGTACGTTAGCACCATTACCATTAGCAAACATAAACTTTCTTTTCCTTTCTCGTTGAGGCATTTCGTCGAACAGTTGATACGCACCTTTAAACTGACGATTTTCCTCCTCTCTTTCTCGCAGCCGTCGTCGCCCCAGGATTCGCCGCCGTGGGGATAACGTTCCGGAACACGGCGGGGCCGTCCAAGATGCAAGCCGTCGCACTTCGAAACGGCGCCGACATGTCAGCATTCTTCAACTGCAGCTTCGAAGGCTATCAGGACACACTCTACGTCCACTCCTTGCGCCAATTCTACCGCGACTGCACGATCTACGGTACCGTCGACTACATCTTCGGCAACGCCGCCGTCGTGTTGCAGAACTGCCGGATCATGTCCAGGCTCCCCCTGCCCAACCAATTCAACACCATAACCGCGCAGGGCCGGACCGACCCGAATCAGAACACCGGGATCTCGATCCAGAATTGCAGCATCAAGGAAGCCAAGGACTTGGCTTTGAGCAATGGAACCACGAGATCTTACCTGGGTCGGCCCTGGAAGGCCTATTCGAGGACGGTGGTGATGCAGTCATCGATCTCCAGTTTCTTAAATCCGGCGGGTTGGGCGCCGTGGGCCGGCAACGCTTCGCTCGATACGCTTTATTATGCGGAGTTCAATAACTCCGGCATCGGAGCGCTGACCGGCGGGAGGGTGAACTGGCCGGGCTTTCATCTGATTAACGAGACCGATGCCGGGAATTTCACGGTGGCGAACTTTACTCAGGGGGACGTTTGGTTGCCGGCGACCGGCGTTCCTTTTGCTACTGGGTTGTTGGTGCAATAATGTCTGAGATTTCTAATTCTTTTTATTCCATTTTCCGGCGAAGTCATTGGAATTAGATAGAGATGAAGTAGTTTGTCAAATTGAAATGTTCATATCGTTCTCGTGAAGTTCATGGAGGCAAAGTCAGTTTTTCGGAATTTAGGATTCTTTTTGGCGGGTGGGTTTAGCGACGTGGGCGCCATTGTCTATTTGTTAAGGGGAAATAAATGCTGTTATAGTGTTGGCCATTATGTATTTCTAATTCTATTCTGGAGAAGGAATCAATTCCTAAGAACATAAATATGAATTTCATATGAAGTAGAATTATTTGAAATGCATAATTTCTCTAAACAGATACATTCCAGACGACACCTAAGATGTTCTTTTATAATTGTAATAACCCAAAAATAGATACTGCGAACATAGAAGCACTAAAACCATGATCCAATAAGTAATGTCATTTTTTTTTTAATTTCTAGCACGTTATTCACTTCTTCTTCTTCTTCTTTTTATCGAATAACCCTTACTTGCGAACGCCACTTTTAATGACGTCGCAGGCATGTTAAACTCCGGTCTACTAGGTCATAACTAGGGAAGACACTCACTAGGGTGGATTTGGGGAAGGTTTTGCAAACTCAACTCATACCCGTGGTTTTTGAGTACTCGTTGGTAATATCCGTCCTGTACATCTAACATTATAATATCCACAAAGAGATAACCATTCTTAATACGATTCAAAGCATTTTATCCTAAAACGTTTATTAATCCATAAGATATATAGAGTAAAATGTAATCCAAATCATTATTTTTTGACTCTGAATATCTACTATGCAATAACTAACTAACATAATCTTGTTAACACGAGGAAAAAAATGAAAGAGTGAAGGGAGAGTTTAAGAATTAGGCTTTTCATTTGGGTGGCCACTCAATTGCATTTCTGCTATTTGTTTTCTTGAATTACTCTCACTATCATTGATAGGTTACAATTTGATTCATGTGTTTATTATATGTGAAGAAATGCTCTTGGTGGCGGAGGCTTTGAGTGTCTGTAGTTTTGGGAGGTCGCCATAGAAGTCAGGAGAGGTCTCCCATGAAGCTAGAAGCGTTGTTGAAGCCTTATTGGAGCCTCGCCGGAGTTTCATCGGAATCTCGTGATGACGACAACGTCAACTCCGACCTCAACCATTCTTCAAGTGGTTGGTACCGTTGCGAAGAAGGCGATCCCAGGAGCATGCACATTTCGACGGAATCAATTTTCGACGCCGGACGAGGGAGAAACAAGCCTCGCAAGTTGGCCCGTAGAACTGTCAATTTCTGAAAGTCAGGTATTGTTTCTGTCAATTCAAAATGTTTGAGGACCTGGAAGCAAGTTTTCCATAGGAAGGGTCAACTCTACCATACCCGTCTCATATGGGGCAAGGGAGGCTAAAACCATACCCGTCTCATACCCATCAAACGTTTTGCAAATTTTACCTATACCCCCTACCCAATCAACGTAGGGATTCCCCCTGTTGACTGGGTCGAGGGCAGTCGGGTAACCTCGGTAACGGGTCTGATTGCCATCCCTGGTCATAACAGACGGTCTAGAAGCCCAATGGGATAGGCTCGTGAAGGAGAGTTAGGATATCCGCCAGGCAACCCTGGAACGACCCTGATGAGTGATGACCCTCTACAAGTGGGGCAAAGCATTCATCCGCCTAGCAAGTGCTACTAAAGGATTGCTGCTATTGTCGAGAATCAAACACACAATCTCTCGATTGATTGTGCACCGTTTCACAAGTTAGGCCAACCCTCATTGACCGTTATTCACTATATTATAACTGAAAAATTAATATATCTGGATAATATTATTTGAAAAATGACATTCTTTGTTGTATGCCCGGAATTATCTTTGAAAATAAGAATGTAGAAGTTGAAGAATTAATTTTGAAGGTAAAGTATTAAGGAAGATAAAGTATAAAAATTAAGTGACTAGATTGATTTTTTAATGAGAAGTATTTTTCTATTATATTGAAGTTAAGATTGTGTAATTCTTCATTTTAAAAACTTTTAGTTAATACAAATTTCAAAAAATTACCATCATTTATACGTGATGTTCAAAATTCTCAAGATGTCGGGTCCCTAAGATTCAATGTAGCTTCGCCGAGGGTACCAGAATATTTGTATCATTGCATAATTGAGATAAATGTTTCATTTTTATCCAATATAGACTAGTTCGGGTCCCTAAGGTTTAAAGTTTCAATTTCGGTTAATGAAATGCTTTTCTACTCTACTCCAGTTGCACAAATCTTTGAGCAATAAATTGTGGGTTTTCAAAGTTCTAGATACATTTTGTTTGTGAGCACTTCTACTGTGCTATATAGTATTGGTGCTTTAATGTACAACTTCAAGTTGTACCATAATATTAAATGTATAAGTTTAGATTGTACCATAAAGCAATTTGTAACATTATGTTATGGTACAACTTTACAACTTGAACTTGTACCATCACATAAAGTACAAGTTCAAGTTGTACCATAAAAGAATTTGTACAAAAAGTATAGGTACAATCTAAAGTTGTACCATAACGTAAATATACAATTTTAAGTTGTACCATAAAGACAAAATCGTATAACACCAATACTATATAGCATTGTAAAATTTCTCTTTGTTTGGATACACAAATCAACCAATATACTAAACAACTTACACGAAGAAATTAAGTATAATAAAATGCCTTATGCACACAGCACAAACGTATCTCTAAGATCATGTTGATGACCAATTCTTACATTACTAGTGAAGGGCATGATCTTATCATACAAGGATGACCAGCCAGCACGTTTTGTGACCAACCCAAAAAAGACCAAATATTTTTCTTTGAGCCCATTTTTCCAAATAAATTCTTCATTACAAATAGCCCTTTGGAAATGTCCAATCCAATAGACCCAACAACCTTTCATTTCTCCTCAAAAGAGAGATGGCCAAAACCAACTTGATCATTTCCTTCCTCCTCCTCCTCTCTTTCTTTTCCTCATCTCTTGCGGATTACTCAACACCAGACTCCATTTGCAGCTTAACCCCACACCCAAACTTTTGCAAATCATTCTTGCCCTTCAGCAACAACAACAACCCTCTAGCCCCATCATCTCTCCATGACTATGGAAGATCCTCACTCTCCCATTCCTTATCCCATGCCCAAGATTTCCATTCCATGGTTGACCATTTCTCAAGTGCCATTCCTTCCACTTCCTACTCAAACCCCCTTCAAGACTGTCACCTCCTCTCTGAGCTCAACATCGATTACCTCTCGCAAGCCTGCGAGGCTGTAAAGGGCAAGGACACGTTCCTCGAGGGCTACGAAGCCGATGACCTCATGACATGGCTCAGTTCCACCATCACCAACCAAGAAACTTGCTTGGAAGGTCTTTCACAATACTCAGCATCACCCTTCAAAAATGCCATGTTCCCACACCTCTATGATGGGGAACTTTACAACAGTGTCTCCCTTGCACTGTTCAAGCACGGGTGGGTACGAGACGATTACCAGCCATCTGGTGCTGGCAATAACGGCAGGTGGCTGGCTGAGAGCGAGCAGATCGTGTCGAAACTGGCCAGGAGCAGAAGCCACCACCTCCTGCCGAGGAGGAGCCACCGCCCCACGAAGGGGAGGAGCCTCGTCGTGGCGGATGGGATTCAAGTGAGTCAGATCGTGGTGGTGAATCAGTACGGGACGGGTAATTTCAGCACCATCAGCGACGCGGTCGCCGTGGCGCCTAACAACACGGAGCTCGTCGATGGGTACTACGTCATCCACTTGATGGCCGGCGTGTACGAAGAGTACGTCTCGATTCCTAAGCAGAAGCGTTACATTATGCTGATCGGAGACGGGATCAACCAGACCGTCATCACGGGGAACCGAAGCGTGGTCGATGGTTGGACCACCTTCAATTCCGCCACATTTGGTAAGCTAGCTCAAGCTTAATTCAGTCAACTCTTTTCTTTTAATTTGCCGCCTTATGAATCAAGCATAACATACATTTAGCCTAAATGTTTACTACACCAATCCAATAGTTTCCTATAGATGTCACTAATGCCTCTATGTTGTGAATCACTAGCTAGCTCAATTGATCTACGTACGTATTAATTGTCTCTCTATCTATCTATCTATGCCAGCCGTGCTAGGCCGAGGTTTTGTGGCGGCGAACGTGACGTTTAGGAACACGGCCGGACCATCCAAGCACCAGGCCGTGGCGGTGAGGAACGGCGCCGACAAGTCGACGTTCTACAGCTGCAGCTTCGAAGGCTACCAGGACACACTCTACGCGCACTCCCAGAGGCAGTTCTATAGAAACTGCGACATCTACGGCACCATCGACTACATCTTCGGCAACGCGGCGGCGGTGCTGCAGAACTGCAATATCTACTCGAGGCGCCCCATGGACAACCAGTTCAACACGGTGACCGCACAGGGCAGGACCGACCCGAACCAGAACACGGGCACGTCGGTCCAAAACTGCGCCGTTTTGGCGACTGAGGACTTGAAAACTTCCAATGTGACTACAAAGACGTACCTAGGGAGGCCGTGGAAGGAGTACTCGACGACGATCGTGATGGAGTCTTTTGTCGACGGGTTGATCGATCCTGCTGGCTGGACTCCGTGGAACGAGTCGAGCTTCGCGCTCGACACGCTCTACTACGCGGAGTTCAATAACACGGGGCCCGGTTCGAGCACCCGTGACAGGGTGCACTGGCTGGGGTACCATGTGGCTAATGAGACCGATGCTAAGAATTTTACGGTTTCCAAGTTCTTGGGAGGGAATTCGTGGCTGCCGCAGACTGGAGTGCCTTACACTGCTGGCTTGAACTAAGCTTGTGATCGCCCATTATATGTGCCTTGTGATTTTATTCTATTTTTTTGATTTGCACTCTCAAGAGTTGATTTGAATTTGGACTAATTTGTACACTGGACAATGCATTGAAGGAAAATAGTATGTTGTTTGAAATTTGTTTAAAGTTCCTGATTTAGTAAGACGATGAAGTTATACAAATTCAGAGTGAATTTAGGAAATTTTCTACATGGTTCAATCCAACTAAAAATTTAGTTGCTATTAAAACTTTCATTAGAAAAATTTTAGTGGTGTGTTTGTATGATACGAACTACCTCGGAAACATGCTACTTTATGAGGTGTAATACAAACAAGTTATTCGGTTTGGTGCATTGTATTAATATTTTGATCATACCCTCTTGAGCGAAGGCCAACTCATAGATTTGAAATTTGCAGTCTAGTCATATAAAATGCTCAAATAAAGTGTCAATATTAAGATCGACCCATAATGTCCAACAATTCTCTTCAATGCTATGGAGAAACTGACGTACCGCCGTAAATGACATTCAGAACTAATCGTCAAAAATCGCTCCTTCCCATTCTCAGTCCATTCGAAGTAATTAGAATCACTTCGGCTTAAACACAGTGACCTCCACCAAATTGTGACGGTCAAACTGTTCACGTAAAACAGTCCCAACTTACGTCTGCAGTTAAGACGCGCTGGTATCTCTCTAAGTTGAACACTCATACAAGAATCCGGTCCACCAAGAGCAACTCCGAAACTGTTCGAGCCTCTAATCAATGAATCACAGCCTTGAGGGGATGTGCTCTGAGATTCGACAGGTCAAGGTGCGCATCGAGTTCCTCGTCGAGTTCCCCAATAACGCTTCTGCCACGATCAAATTATCAAAATATCAGAGACTAAGCAAACAGAGAAGTAGAAACCGAGGCAAAGAGAATAAAGGTGCAACAAGAACTTACATGTTATCACCCCTTATTATGTACAAACCCAAAACCAGTAGTTGGACGCCTTCCTGGAGAAAAACGAACAGGCATCTACTGAGTCAACTGAAACACATACATTTCTATATCTTCTCCGCCTGATTTGAGGGAATGACCTCTCAACTTTCAAGTAACGGAGAACAGAAAGGAGGAGGGAGAACTCATTGTGACCCGAAATTCAGATGGACACCTAATGCAAATATGTTACAAATGTAATTTGGATTCTTGAAAAATAAAGAATCAAACATTTACCGGTGAGCTGAAAACAAAGAAATGTGATGCATGCATCCAAAGTACGGAAGACCCCTTAATGGCTTCAATCTAATCAAGACGAAGGGAAGAAATCAGGAGAAGGATTCAAACCTTAGTGGAATAAACACGTTCATGAGATTCATCAAGGATGATATTCGTGGCCTGATCAAAGCCTTTCAAGATGCCCTAAATTACCCAAAACATAAAAGAGGTTAGTGCACATTATTGAAGATCATATAGCAGCAAATAACACCACTTCTATTCCCATCAACTTTTGTATCTCACAAACAAGAGTACACCAATGAGGTTGGGATCAAGCGTAGTAACTACAGTGAAAAAGTGTACTAAATACACAAATGCACGTAAAGGTCAGGGGTCATGACATACCACTATGTTGCGGCCATCATTTGTGATCACGGAAATGGTTTCTGCACAGAGAAGAGCAAGGATTATTTAGACCATCATAAAAGGGCACAGACAAAGAAACTAGTATCATTAGCCACCACAGGATTCATAAACCAACGCAGACCTCTTTTCTTTCACTCCTCATCCAGCATTATATTGTTAATCAGAGCTCAAGATTCTTATTGTTTTGGTTTCTGACAAATGAAGTAGACTCGATACGTAGAGCTATTCATTGCTAGTCGTGCCAAAGTAAAAACAAACTAAAACATGCACATTAAGCAGAACGTAACTCACAATCATGAATCACTAATTCGGGAAAGGATGATATTTCATGATCTCACAAGCACGAGTTCTTGAAATTTCCTCAATAATATTCATTGAAAAATTCTACTCAATATTGACACGTACTTCATCAGCAGGGGACAAAAGAAATAAAATACTAATTGCATGGAAACCCCTAGATGATGATTAGAACATCAATCCAATTTGCCACTGCTAAAGTAACCCAATCTTGTTCCTTCTTTAGGTCTCTAGCCATACCCATAAACTGTAGATTCATGTCTAAAAAACACTAAAAAGGGGATGAGAACAGTGTCTATTAAGAGTAACTTACGATCAACAAGAGACTCGAGCCCAGGTCCAGTAGCCATTCTGCAACTCTCAGAAGTAAGGTTGAGACCCTACCCTGCTATGATCGTTAACTGCACAAGGAAACAGAAAAGGAAGATAAAAAACACAAACCCCCTGGCTGGACCAGAATAAAACAGTTTTAGGCACCAAATAATCAACAGAAGAAAAAAAGCCCACGGAAAGGGTTAGATGAGCCAAAATTTATCATAATAATCTAAAAGGTAGAGATGGCAGGACATGGCCTATGGCATACTAGACCAAATAAATCAACAAGAAGAAACTAATATGGCAGCAGCATATAAGTAAAACACCAAATGATTCTGACTAATGCAATCAAAAGCACGATTCTACCTAGAAACGGAACGATGGGTAAAAGTATAGAGCTTAAAAGCATAAACTTTTGATGCATCATGTAAAAATAAAATACCTAAAAATCTGCTAAGTAGGACATGTATCCTGTAAATTTTGAATGTGCAGACCTTATGTAAGTGAATAAATACCTATAAATGTAACTTGTCATACACATTATATAATTTGAGTCGCTTTTGACGTAGAGCAAAATCATAAGTCAAGTCATAACAACAAGCTCATAAACATAGAATACAAATCAAAGGTCACATAATAGCATAAATCAAAAGTCACAAATGAGTTTTAGAATCCAAATTTTCGAAATCAAAGCATACAAATGTTCTCAAGGATAAAAAGAACTAAACAAGTCCCTTGGCTTCAAGGTTTGCATTTATCAAACCCAAATATTCCTTGTAATCTCAATTCTCAAATCTATACAACTGATTTCTTCAATCTTCATTCATTATCAAATATATGTAATGTCAAATCTATCAAATATTCTTTGACTAACTTCCTTCGTTTAATCTCAAATATATTCTGCAACATCACTTCACTTTCATGAAAAACTAAAGAAATGACCAACCTAATTAACTAAGCAACAGGGGAGAACTTACAGAGATAATCAGCAAGCTGCAGGCGCAGCAGATCGGAAGTGAGGCGGAAGAGGCAGTGTAGTGGTGATCTGGTCTGGCACTCCAGGCGGCAGCAGTGGCCTAGATTCTGGAGCCGGCAGCGGTGGTGACAAGGCGGAGCAGTGGTTGTCTACTCTGGAGCCGGCACAGCCGTGAGAGGTGCCGAGGCTGAGCAGTGGAGAACGGACTCTAAACGGTGATGTCCGCCTGGCTGGGGGACGAAATCCGTAGGTGGTGGACCGTCGATGGACGACCAGATGCTAGCAGAGGAGAATGGCGATATCTACAGGAGGGTGAATTCGGAGGAATACGGGGTGGTGAGAAAGCAGAGAGAAGGGGTTCGTCGGCTGTAGAGAAATTAGGGCTGGCTGCTGGGATTGGGAGTGTTCGTTATGAAGAAACAGATAATCGGATAGACAATCCAACTTACCGATTCAGGAAGAACCGGACGGCGACAACGAACTGAGGAGGCAGAGGATTTCCTTGCCGCTGGAGGAGGGATGGCCGCTTTTCGAAGTCGACGGGTGGAGGACGGATGGTCGATGTGGACCAGTGAACTATCGCTCTGCTTTGCTATTGAGAGCGCCGCTGGTGGACTGAGAAGAACGGGATTGAAGATAGAAGACTGCGCGAATTGCGAAGGGTGAGGACGATTAGGGTTCTGCAGTTCTGCTTGTGCCTCATTTTTTCTTTCTCAGTAAATTGCTCCAACGACGCCGTAGTGGTAGACTGGTAGTGGTTCTGCTAGGCAAAAAAATTGGCCCAGTTTACTTTTGACTTTCTTTTCCTGTTTTTTGTTGTCAAAACAAAAATTTGGAAAAGCAGAAAACGTGTTTACTTTGGTTTTTGTTTTCATTGTATGCTCAAATTCGAGCCGTTATGCACGAGGCATTTGTTTACGTAGTTAGTAAATACTTTGTTTAATATACGTATATGTATTCGTACGTACTTTATTCGTTTAAAATTTCCGTATCCGTATTATTGTCAAATCGTTTTATTTTTTCCGTTCATTTGACGGCTCCCATATTAAACACGTATAACACGTTTAATATTCGTATTTAGTGAATGAAATTACTAACTTTATTATTATTAATTTATTTATTTTTAAAATAATTTTTTTCTATATTTATGACAATTAACGTATTATTACACGTAACATTAGCATAAAGACGAAGTAAAATACCCGTATGTATTCTATTTTATACGTCACTTTCCCGTATCATACTTTGAGAAAGTCAAGGTAGCTCAATTTTGGATGACCGTTTGCACTTTGTTTCTGGTCCATGGGTTTCATTGATAGAGTAGGGCTCGGAGATTCCACCGACCGAGTAACCATGGAAAAAGGGTTCATTAAAAGCTATATAATCCATCGAGTGTGTTGATGATTCAAGAATTTGTGTTAATCCGATGTTATGCTTTGCTTGCCAGAGCCTAGAAGGATGTGTTGGGCAAATGGTTCACGTATGTAAGTTTTTTATATTAGGAGAAATTCGTTTTGCGACGACAAACTTCGGTCTAAATAGATACTCGGGAAATCGTGTGAGCATTTAATACGAGCTTGCAGCCTTGTCGGTGGCCACCAAGGGAGTAACGCAGAAGTGGCGGCTGCCAAGAATCGAACACAGGACCTCCTGGACACAATCTTGGACTTATACCAGTTTTTCCTTGCAAAACAAGTCACATAAAGAAATCAAAGTGAACAAAAAAATGAAGGAGAATATATCAAGACTCATGCATTGAAATTTTATCAAAACATGTATAAACAACGGCCCGAGCCAATATAATAATACACTATTTCTTCTTAAGGAATTTAGTTCCCCTCTAGGCCTCTACGATACCCTAAGTTAATAGAACTATTCCTCACAGGATAGAACAGAAATACCTTTCTAGCGTTTATTATTTTCAACAAAGCCAATAGAAAGATTGACTGAGACCATCGAGTTGAGCGATTGAGGAACCCTTACTCCTTATTGTGTTACCATTCAAGCCTGGCAAGTTTTTGCTTGTACTTCACGAAATGCAATCTCAACATATCTTTTTTGTTTGAAGAAAAAAAATATAGGACCAAGTTGGCATAGAAAACTAATGTAATGATCTAACCTAAATCAACAGGGTAGTCTAGCTAGTTTGTTTTACTAGCCATCGTGTCTCTCCAAGTTAAAGTCATTGTTTACGAAACCATACCGGGTCATATATACACGAACTTGTTTGTGGTAATTTTAATGGTATGATTATGGTTCAACAGTTTTGTACCATTCCGACAATAAGTTCAGCTAGTAGTCTCTCAAGTGAAGGTGACCAAACCAATAACGACTTGGTGGTCAGTCCGAGGGAAGTGGTTGACTCGGTTTAAACTCAGTGGTCACTCAATGGGAACAAGAAAAAGACTCGATGTTGACATTGCGCCTTGAGAGGAAACCATTCACTCTCTCTAGAAAAGTGTTTATGTGATATATCCTCCTATACTTACCACGGTGGAAAGCCATCTTTTGTAAACCTACGTTTAGGTTTGTACTAATTGTCCTTTTTTGTGTAACAATTTCAACAGTGGCTAAAACTCTTCCTCGCATTTAGGAAAGGTAGCAGAGTAGAAGTTGTAATGAGTTAAGCTCCAATTAGAGCAACTCCATTTTTGGCAAAAAGTGATTAATCAACAAATCCATCTAATTTTTTCCTCTTCAATTCTCTTTGACCTCTTCCAATTCCTAATCCCCACCAAACACCTCATAATTCCTTCAACTGACTTTTGAAACCATCAAATAAATTTCCCTCCACAAAAAGAATAAAGTATAAGTAATCTCTTTTCCTCTAATCTCCAAATCAAGCGAGGTTTTTTAGGCTTTGAAGAGGGAGAGGCCAAACTAAGGCTTTTCAATAAAAAAAAAATTAAGGAACCCTCTTCCTTGAAACCTCATTAGCTAGCTCCTATCTAACACAGATAAACAAAAAACAAAAAAAAAATTCTTACTGACCAATCAAAGAAGAGGAAAAATTTACAAAACAAATCCACATTTAAAGAAAAATATCCAAAAAGAGCCCTTGTTGCATATATTTTTTTTTCTTCCTTCAAATAGAGATTTAAAAACAATAGAAAGGAGAAAAGAAGAAAAAGTCGGGATTTAAATAAAAAAAATTGACAGAAAAGAGTAGAACTAGGATGGGGGACGATGGAGGAAAGAAGCGGATTGTAATTATAGGAGTGTCATCCATCCTTCTGGTGGCGATGGTGGTCGCTGTGACGGTCGGAGTCGGAAAAGACAATGAAGGCGGCGATAGTGAGGAGATCGGGAGTGGGAGCGGTGGTAACAGCGCCGAGACCATAGCTTCCTCAAAGAAAGCAATCACGGCCATCTGTCAACCGGCCGATTACAAGCAGTCATGCGAGCAGAGCCTCGAGAAATCAGCCGGGAACGCCACCGACCCAAAAGATCTCGTCAAGGTTGCCTTCACCATTGCGCAGAAGAGCATCGGCGAGGCGATGAAGAAGTCCGACACGCTCAAGGAGCTCGACAGCGATCCCAGGACTCACGAGGCACTCATCACATGCAAAGAACTCATGAACATGTCCATAACCGAGCTTGAGGATTGTCTCACCAGGGTCGGTATAGTTAAAATAATGATAGAGTTTATAAAATTTTATAATTAGATTAATTAATGTGATTTCATAGCGCTTCCTGCATGTGATTACATTTCAAATTTTAGCACAGTTTATGATTTGAAAAAAAAGTGTTAATAAAAGTCTCTATCATATTAAACTTACGGTGAAAATATTTTGATGAAGGTATCAGAGAACTTCGATTTCAACAGAATAGATGACTTCATGGCAGACCTTACCACGTGGCTTAGTGCGGCGATGACATATCAAGAAACTTGTTTGGACGGATTTGTAAACGTGAGCACGGTGGCAGGAGCCAAGATGAGGGAGTTCATGAATACATCAATGATGCTGACCACCAATGGTCTTGACATTGTGACTGGACTAAACTCCCTCTTCTCTTCTTTCCAACCAGCTGACCAGCCCGGCTCAGGCCGCCGTCTCCTTAATGCGGATGGAAGCGTCACCATGCTCCCAGTCCTCGGACACGGATACCACCCATTCCCTAACTGGGTTCCTGACAGGTTTAGAAGACTTCTTGAGGAGGACTCCGACTCGGACAAGGAAGATTCCGACGACGAGACCGAAAAGGAGAAGAAGAATAAGGATGATAATGATGGTCAAAAACAAAAAGAAGACCCGGATGATGAAACCGAGATAAAAGATGAAGCGTCAAAGGGTAAAGTGGACTTCTCCAAGAATCCTGTGGATATCGCCGATGTTGTGGTGGCTGAGGACGGAAGCGGTGACTGTAAGACCGTCAATGACGGCTTGAAGCTCTTGGAGAAGGCAAAGAAGAAGAAGAAGGACGATGAGGTCGTTGTGCTCTACATTAAGGCCGGTACTTACAAGGAGTACGTTGAGGTGACCAAAAGTCTTGACAATATGGTCATGATCGGAGATGGTGCCGATAAAACCGTCATCACCGGCGATAAGAACTTCATCGACGGTGTTAGCACTTACCACACCTCCACTGTCGGTAAGTTAGTTAATCAACTTTCTTTCTAGACTTAAAGTTACGTACGTTTTAGGCTTTATTTATTTCTTTCCCCTCCCCTGTAATATACTTATTTCACACTCTGTTCTGTTTCTCTCCCTGCTACACCACACCAGCTATCGCGGCCGACTACTTCTTCGCCAAGAACATTCGAATCGTGAACAGCGCCGGGGCTGAGAAGCACCAGGCCGTCGCCCTCCGAGTCTCTGCCGACTTTGCTATCTTCTACAATTGTACATTCGACGGGTACCAAGACACTCTGTACACCCATACCAAGCGCCAATTCTACCGCGACTGCACAATCTCCGGCACAATTGACTATATCTTCGGTGACGCCGCCGTCGTGTTCCAAAACTGCCTCTTCCTGGTCCGAAAGCCCATGGAGAATCAACAGTGCATCGTCACGGCCCAAGGACGAAAACAACGCCACCAGCCCTCCGCCATCATCATCCAGAACGGGACAATCATAGCCGCCCCGGAAATGCAGGCCGACAGGATGAAGTTCAAGACGTATTTGGGCCGGCCCTGGAAGAATTACTCCAGGACCATTATCATGGAGAGTTACATCGGCGATCTGATTGACCCCGAAGGTTGGATGCCTTGGATGGGCACCGTCGGTACCAAAACTTGCTGGTACGGCGAGTTTGGGAACTACGGCCCCGGCGCCGATCAAAGTAAGAGGGTGACGTGGAACGGGATTAAGAAGATTACACCTCAACATGCCGTGGATTTCACCCCCGGTCGGTTCCTTCGGGCTAACGAGTGGGTTAAACCCACGGGGATTCCCTATGTCCCATACATGGTCAAGCCCTCCACGTCGCGGCGGGTAAATGTGGAGTAGAACAAGACAAAGGATCGGATGATGTCAGTCAACTAATTTGATATACACATAATTTAATTTGGGAACGGAGCATATTGGAAGATTTTTTTTATTTATTATCTTGTAATTGTTTGTTGTAATTTATTTTATTTTTTCTATTGATTTTTACTTTTCTATGTTATTTGATACTTCACTGACCCTTCTTAATTTCGAATTTTAT